CGGAAAGGTACCGAAAGGGGTTCCCATTTTATTTGATTTTGGTTTTCTATCTTTATTACGACACACACCACACACCGTATAATCTATTGGCCAGGAAGGACTCCTTCCTATACAACCACCTCGCACCGAAGGAGGGGCGGGACACGGTGACGATCAGCTTGGGCGACCATGGGTATCCCGAAGACGTCTGCTCTCGTTCCACGGGTCAACTGGGAGCATGCGCGGCACATGGCAAGCAACCGTCCATCCGTGTGTGATTTAGACGTGGTAGCTGGCGCCATACCCAGCTGGGAAGGAGAGAGGTTAATACTTCGTGTGGCGTAGATAATATTGATTGATGAGGCATCATGGTTTCCCCTTACCTCTGTCCCATCTGACTAGTTAGTTGAGCTCTTTCTGAATGACTCAGCGCTCAGGCAGGAATGTAACATAAGGTATGCATATTGCTTATACCTGAAGTATCGTACGACTGGACGATACATACTTGTATTTTTCGCTGCGGTAATGGTTGACCGGCCTCCGCTCTGAGTACATACATACCTATCCGGATGTATCTATACCGTGGTATGTATGGTGTATGGTGCACTCCGTCCCCTAAGGTACACCGTAGGTATGTACTCCCGTCTGTAGCGTGTGGCTTTTATCGACGGAACACCACCTACCTAACGGTGTAGATACCTACAGGAGTACGTGCGCTTACCAGTGTGCTGGGTCGCTCTGTACGGACTACTTCGTACGAAATACTCCACCGGTCTCCTTAGGGTGCACTACCCACGGGGTAACACTTATCACTTTTCGTAAAACGTTTCCAGGAAGAGCAATCCATGTCGGGTGAAAGGACGAGTCGTTTTCGGGACCCCCTTCGAACTAGATTGGTCAGAATGCGACTTGAAACTCGTTCGGGCAACACTTTCTCTGCGGAGGGCTCTCGTATGCCAAACTCATGGACTGTCAGTCTAATCTGCTCCGTACCATGATCCTTCTTGTAATCTAATTTAGTGAGTTAACTAGGTATCTTTGACCCATTTCTAAGGCGGAACCCACTTTCGGAAGCCAAGCTCGCTGCTGTTGATTGTGACGTCACCCACACCGATGCTCGAAGCCTAAAATCGGTTTGAACTATAGCAGCGGTTTCATCCGCCATTATTGGGAAATGTTCTCATGTTAATTTCAAGGTTAAAGGCCCGTCGAGGGTCTCCGCCCCATAAGTTCGTCGGTTGAAGCTATCCACCAGGTTGTCTTACGTGTTGGCTATAGGGCGGCCACTCTTCCGAAGGCAACAAGGGTCGTGATTACGCCAAGGGGAGCCACTTCGACTCGGCGCAGATAGGGCTGAGAAGTCGGAGCTCTCCTTCTATAGGAATGGAATGGATGGATGAACTGACTCGTTGAAAGGGTGACAAATCTCCAGAGCGGCAGAGCCAATTATTTTCACGTGGAGCTTCGCCATGGCTAATTAGCTGGAGGTGAGCTGCCTGCCTCCTCCAGACATTCCACTGTGGTAGGCTGCACGTCTTCCGGGGTCTTCTCCGTTGTCAGCCAGTCACCCCCTGGATCGGAGCTTCTTCCAGCAAATCACAGCCCGCGATCGTTGCGTCCGATCGCATCATATGTCCATCGACACATCGACGATCGGTAGTTATGAACGGTTGCCCCGATTCCTTGCGTGATGCATAAATCGGCGGTGATACTTATGCGTGTTTGTCTTTTTCTTTTACTTTTATTCTTTTTTTTTTGGTTGCATGTGCGTGAAGCCTGCCCCTCCATTCTGCATAGTAAGGTAAATGGGAAAGAGCCCACCTAGTCGACATCTCTCGAGCAGGAAGTTCCTGACAGTCGACTATTTGCTGCAATATCAGCCACCAGACCCGGCCGTTTCCAGACCTGGAGGTGGATATGCCTTAGATAAGCGACGCCCTGCTTCTAGATTGCGGAGCACCCTTCGTTACAATACGAGCAAACCACGGCTCGAAATTGGCTTTCGGAGGGCGCCGTGTGACAGCTGCTCTGAGAATCGCTATTCCGCCTCTCTGATTGGCTGGGATGAAAACCCGATAATCAGCGCTGGTGCTTTCCCAGTTGGTCTTAGTGCATATCACCATACATATACGCTCTGCGTACAATACCGTATACAATAAGCCAGAGCGCGGCTTCTATATCTGCCTTCGCCGTTGCAGGTGTTGCCTTCAGGGCTCAAAATCATTCCTTCAGAAAGCAACCCGATACCAGGGACCGTCCCTTGTTACCTAGAACGGTGGTTCCAGACAATAGCTTTGTGCCCTGTGTCAGCATTCTATCATATTGGGCCCTTTCCATGGGTGATTGTTGTTGGGAGCTTCTGGTAAGGTTTTGGCTTCCATTACATGGCTCCTTCCCCTTGATTCAATGCCTGATCTGGTAGGAGATGGCTAGCTAAACTCGACGAATCATGTCTTCCTCAATTCATTTCCGTTGGATGTCTACCTACCTACCTCCCCGAGGAGATATAAATGCGTTTAAAATGCGGTCAGTGGTAGGTGCCATTCAATCCAAACCTTAGGTAGGTAGCTATGTATGTAGGAATACATCATATCCTAACTTGGACAATGAACTCTTCGAATCAGCTTCCACTGCTCCATTAGTACTACCCACCAACCGTCAACTGCAAACCTCTAAACCTTTGAATGGCACATATCAATCGCCTATCCAGGCATAGTCCTACTCACATGTACGGAGTAGGAATGGCCATTTCCTAGTCACCCCAGTCAGCCATGCAGTTGACATGCACGAGCCCAAAGCATATTGAAGTACTGTTTGCCCTGTGTGTATTACCAGCTCCTGTCCTTCTCGGCCAGACTATTGCCTTCGTCTATAGATAGGTGTCCATCGCCCGAGGCTCGACAAATGTTCATGAGAGCCCTATTATCGGAAAAGGAATCCAAGCTCTACGATGACTCTTTTCCCGCACTTTGCGGTTGTACGGGAATTGCTCAAGGTTGCACAATGGCGTAGGTAGTGCCGCTTCTAGACATCGCATTCGAGTAGCATCCGACAGCATTCCTCCCTCGGCCCCTTTCCCCTCCCCCTTCTAGCCATGTCAGTTGCTCTGACTCCCGAGCTACCATTCCGTTGGGATGCCATGACGCCACCTATTACAGATGTGGCTGAGTCTACCAGCAATTCTAATGGAGGTCATGGAGAACCAGTCGTAATACTCCCTGATACCGTAACCCGTCTACCTACCTGTCTACCTAGCTTAGCGAGGTACAGACTTTAACCTCGGTGTCTGTGTGCCTGTGGGGACCTTCCTTTTCCTATCTTTTTTTATTATTTTAATTTGACTTCCTTTGTATTCTTTTTCTTTTTCTTTTTCTTTTTCTTTTTCTTTTTCTTTTTCTTTTTCTTTTTCTAATGAATCCTCTCCCCCCTCTTTCTCCTTCGTTCCCTACCAGGGATAATGTCCTTCTTTCTCGGAGGAAATCACAACCATACTTTTGAGTATAGGGTTCAGCCGTGAGAACCGTAATGCTTGATGAAGAAGTACAATGACACTCCGTGTTTCAAGCATGTGCATGAGCAGCTCCGTGCAACGCAACCGTTCGAGGTCAAGTGCGAGTGCGGCAGGACGGCATTTCGATCAAATCCAATGCGGGGGGGAGGCGCTGAAGCCGCGCCGATTGGGAGATGGAAGAGCCAGCTTACTTAGAAATGTAGTCGTAGTTAGTTAGCTAATAAGTAATGGCCAGGGTACACACGGTGCCTCTTTCTTGTAAGGTAAAAGAGAGAGGTACTTGCGGTGTAGGGATGTATCTGTAGGTAAGTACACCTACCTTAAAGGGTAGGTCCATGGGCTCTATCTGGAGGTGGTAGTACCTACAGTACACTCAACTACAAATTCAGGTTGTATGTGTGTGGTATGTATGTATGTACACAGATAGGTACGGTACCTTGGGGTGGGTGAAATACATGGAGGTATTTGCGGTGCCGACCAAACGTATTTGGGTCCGCTCCACACCCCTCTCTGCTCCCCACCGATCCTGGGCTTGACCCAGAAAATCAAACTCCATTAAAAGAAAATTCATAAAAAAAAAGGCACCTTTTCCCCCCTCCACCTCTTGTCTTTTTTCCCCCTCACAAAAAAAAAAAAAAAAAAAAAAAAAAATGAACCTGAAGGCTCTTACTTTTTTCATTCAAATTCTTAAATTCGTTTGGAACCAAATCAAAAGAGTTTCTCGAATTCTTCTCATACCCCATTTGATTTTTTGTCATCATCAACGGTCATTGCACGTCACCACACATTTCCATGTGGCCCCTTTCTGCTGCTTTTATTAATAACCCAAGTATCACATTCTTTCCACAATCTTCCGACCAGCAAATCGTTTCCTGAACCCTTTGGGATTTCCACTTTCTTCGGTCGACTCGAGGTTCCCTTAAGAACGAGTATCAATATTATTGGGGGCTCTGCTACCGTCCGATTCCTAGAGCCCCAGTTTTCTCTGCCTGGGAAAAAATAAAAAATAAAACCTCCCCCAACATTCATCACCAGTCACTCTCCCGGTCTCTCCCCCCTCTCGCTCTTTCTCTCCCCTTCGTCACCATCGACCTCTAAGAGATTCTCCCCCACTTATCTCTTTTTTCGCCTCGATTCCATATATGGAGTACATAAATTCTATCCCGCCTTATATGTACTATATATAGTCTCGGGTTCTAAAGTATTCTTCCCTTGTTCGACTTGGTTCGTGATTTCTATGATTCTTCAGCAAGGGGCGCTTTTGTTGTATACCAAATACCGCTGTATCTCCATCGATCGCACAATACTCAAAGCGCCTTATCGTGCTCTGATCTTGAACTTTTCAAACCGCGCGACTGCGATATTATCCGAATCACTCCTGTTTCTTTATCTTGAGTAGCGACACCCTGGGTATCGTGTTCGCAATCCAGCGCTCGGCGGTTCAACCGCGCAATCCAAACAAACCGATAAATCCGCGACCTACCCGGGTTAACAGAGCTTCCTGTTCATAATGTTCAACAACAGGTAAGTCGGCAGTGGCGCGGGTGACGCCGGGCCCCTCGGGGTCCATGCATACGACCATGTTAGCTGATTACTGTGACTACAGAAAAAACACCCAGAAACCCGGTGGCGATTTGATCGAAAGATTCCAGAAGACCTTCCCCGACATCATCCCCTCAGAACAACAATCTCACCGCAATGTGGCTTCCCTCAACCAGGCCCCTGGGGCGCCCATCACTCCGAATAGGTTTGTCTTTTTCTCTCCTTCCCCTGCTGGCTGCGCTTTTTTGCTGTCTAATTTACTCTTTCCCTGGCAACTTCATACTTTTGAGAAACGAAACAGTGTCTAATCTTTCTGTGAAATATCATAGGGTCGGTTTAGAAAATGACGGCACTTACCACGGCGGCCACGACATGAGATTCGGACCAACGTTCGTCGACCCGACCTCCCTCTCGTTTATGAACTCCATGAGCCAGCAGACTGGCTACTACACGCCGAACTCTGGTGGATTGGGAACGGTGTTTCACAACCAGGCGGGCGACCTACATACACCAAACCTAGGCATCAACTTGATGAGCCCACTCTCACTTGGGCATCAAGTGAGTGGCGCGAATCTCTCGGCCGACGGTTCATCCATGGGACTAGATCCATTCAGCCAGCAATTTATGCCCCATTATCAAAATCCGCAAGCATATGCGCAGCAAGCAACCTTTGCGCCCGGCGCATTGGTCCATCGTGATTCAGGTTATGATGCCATAGACGAATCTGTGGATGGACTGTCTCTAAATGATATGGAATTGCAGGCGAATGCATCTTCACAACTTGTCGATCCGACTGTACCGTCCTCGGGACAGCTGGACGCTGAGGCCCCTGGCGAGAAGTGGGTGTTTTTTATCCCTCAAGAGCCTTCTTCGCTCGATTAGCTCGATTACTTACCGTGTGTTTTCAACAGGTTCCGCTATCACACCACATTACGGGCACCGACCGCCATGGTCAAGGACCTCAACGAAATTCCCGTCTCATATCTCAACAAGGGACAGGCCTACTCGTTATCCGTTGCCGATACAACGCCACCTCCGCGAACTGCACAGCCCGTCAAATACCGAACCTTCGTCCGTGTTTCTTTCCAGGACAAGGAGCAGCGATCGAAGCCCGCCTCCTGTTGGCAGCTCTGGAAGGAAGGACGAGGGTCTAACGAAGCCCATCAACGCGGTGGCAAACTTCAGGCAGTGGAGTATGTGGATCCGATTCAAGGCGGCTTGGAAGACCAAAAGAACCGACAAATTCAACTTGAGAGCTCGTCCTTTGATGGATTCTGTGTCACCTGGACCGCCAACCCGGCTACTGGCACTCCGGACTGCGCAATTTCTGTTCGATTCAATTTTTTGTCAACCGACTTCAGTCACTCCAAGGGTGTTAAGGGTATTCCAGTTCGACTTTGCACCAAGACGGAATTGGTTTCCCCAGAAGAGACAGAGAACAAAGAATCCGAAGTCTGTTTCTGCAAAGTCAAGCTATTCCGGGACCATGGTGCTGAACGGAAGCTTTCGAATGACATTGCCCACGTGAAGAAGTCGATAGAGAAGCTTAGGCAACAGATTGCGCAGGCTGAAATGGGTGCTGGCAACTATGGCAAACGGAAGCGTGTCAATGGATCGATGTCAGACGCGCGCCCTTCGAAGATCACCAAGCACCGACGGGCCTGGTCAATGGGCTCCCAGGATGGCTCCGATAGGATGTCCATGGAAGATGATCTCCATGTGAAACTAGCGTTGATGCAGGAAATGTTCACATCAACGCGGCCCGTGAGCATTTTGTCACTGCGTGGCGACGAGCAAGATGACCCCGATCTGTTCCCGGTTCAACTCTCCGACGCGCGCGGTCCTAGCAAGAAAGAGAAGATGGGGTCTCAGTTCGGCAGCGCAGACGGGTTAAGCTCTCAGAATCTATCTCCTCTTAGCAGCTCCATCTCGTTGAACTCCCCGTTTACCTCGACCAATCTGCAACAGTTCACCTTTGAATCGGGGAGTCGCTCGTCTGTGGGTGCCTTCCAGGAATCTTCTGAGAGTTCCGACGATAAGTCGGTCTTGAAGCATCCGGTGAAGATACAACGAGCCAACACTTCGGATTCCAATGTGTCCTTAGGCTTCATTGAGGCAGTAGATATCGATCCCGCATATCGGCCTCCTACTGAGTCTCCACCCAAGCCCAGTAAGTTCCCAACAATATTCCGATAATTGGGAGTGACCTTTGCTAACAATTATCTTAGTCGCATGTTTCTATGTCCGCTTCCCGCGAAACGACAAACATCAAGACGACTACTACAGAGCGGTCTACCTCACAGAACTGACGGTTCGGGATTTGATGGAAAAGATCTCGATGAAACAACATATCGACCCTCGACGAATTGTCCGCATTCTCCTCGTCAAACAGAACGGGTTGAGAATCATGGTAGATGATGATGTGGTCCGCGAACTTCCCGACGGTCAGGATATGATTGCCGAGATCTCCGACACATCAGCCCTTAACGCCCCATCAGCCACCAGTCAAGAAGAATCCCCTAACGCGGGTGTGGAGGTCAAATTGAGATATTAATGCCGTTTACGCCACGGAGCCTGTTTCTACGTCTCACGTTCACGTCTGCTTCGATAATCCTGATTTTCACGCCTCGATACCCCAGGGCATACAGCGTTCTGGGATTTTTCTTTCGACCGGCGCCAGGTGCGCAGAAAACGGGTCGGTATGCTACAATCGACCTCGATGTCTCCCGAAATTAAATTTTTTTGTTTTTTTCCTTTGTCTGTTTGGCGTTCGGCCTTATATCAATGTTTTTCGGGGCGTTGGACCGGGGATTATAAACGTGTCTCCTAACAATGATACCCTTTGTCGCGTGTTCTCATCTCATTTCGTTTCGTTCATTCTTGTTTCATAACAAATACCTCCAATATTGTTTATTCATGTCCGCATTGTTTTTATTCTTGATCATCTTTTTTTTTTTCATTATCTCTATTTATTCTTTCTCTGTTTTATGTTTGGGAATACACGACCAGGGGCGCGTTATTCAATCTCGATTCTGTACTTTCGAGAACTTTCCTCAGGGACGATGCACACGAAAAAGATACCCTGTTACATTTTCCTCGGATTTGCATTTCTTTCTATCTCTGGCTATCTCTTGTTCAATGCTAATCAATTTAATATTGACTTGATTCGGTTTCCACGTGTTGTGCCGTGGTTACACTGTCCCAGCAACAGATTTGCCCCCTCGTACAGGGCGGTCGTTGCTATGATTTAATGTCTCCTGCTGCTTTCTTCACAGCCTGTCTTGCGCACCAGAATGAATGACATAGATGTGAATCTCCTGGCCACAGGCGACCTATTGTTCAGGGTATTTTTGGGTCAGAAGAGGTTTAGATTATATATGAGCCTACCTCCAGAATCGATTCAATCGTTCATTCAATTTACCACACAAATCTTGGGATGATCTTTCGCTACACGTAAATTTGGGATAGGTTCTTGAGTGTAACACGCATGAACGGAGGCTGCATTCCACGCGAAGTGAAGGATCAAGGCATTTCGGAGGTACTCGGTCAGACTGCCCCCCGCCCCTTTCCATTCGCGGATGGAGTAAGTGGAGAGGAGAATGTTTCCGTGTCAACACAAAGCAGCGCAGCCGAGCTAGCCAGGTTTGTATGGGGCGGCGTACGTACATACGTACGGTTTCACTCGGCGTAATTACAAAAATTCCACACCCAGACACCCTGAAATCGAAATACCCCCGGACCATAATTCCATCTTTTCTCTACTCTTCCTATTGGCTGGGCCCGGGACCGAAAAAAAACCAAATTTACCGTTTCCGGTTTATCTTTCCTGAGACAGTCGGTTCGGAACGCTGTCCCAGACGGACTGTTTCCAATACACAAGTACCGAGTGAACCTGCCGGCCTGTCATGGTACGGTATCAATATAGGTATCGTTGTCTCACTCAGCCCTTCAACCACCCATCTGGTCGTATATCGCAGTATTTACTAACAGTAGGGCAAGTGTAGCTAAGATCTGCAGGCGTTTCCAATTATGCCCAATATCTGTACGTGTGATTTGAATGGGCCTGAGACGCGTCTCCCGGCTTCTCCGTACTGGAAAAATCTGCTCCGTTCTTTTCCCCGTCTCTTGCTCGACTCGACTCGAGCCACTGCTAGACTGTTAGGCACCACCTCCACTGGCTTAATCGACCCCTCCGCGCTAGCGTTTCGGGGTCGCCGCCAACAGGCGACTAGGCAACTAGGCTACTACGTGTTAACACACCGATAGAATCTGCAGATGGTAGTTGCTCCGTGTCAAATTTCGATGGACTCGCGCGGCAGGTCGAGAGAAAGTTTTTTTCTCCCCTATGGACCTGACCCGCGGGGAGGAAGAGTGGAAGGAAGAGTGAACTAAACTATCGTAGGTAGGTAGGTGGAAGACGATGGTCGAGCGATACGCGCCGAGACGGGCCCCGGGGGGGGGGGAAACAATGCTTATGACATCATAATCCGTCCAAAACTTGGTTCTAGACTGCCCGTTGGGACAGATAAACTAGAATGACATCATCGCGCATGAAAAAAAAAAGCAGACTAAACGATGGCTTGCCCCACACGGGACGTGCCGATGTGGCTCTGGCCATATGGCTTGGTATCTTACTATTTTAGCCTCGTTCCCGCCGGGTTTTCTTTACGTACCGGTCTTTTTACCGTCCGTATGGTTTTGGGACGGAGGGTGGTATGGATGGAGGGCTTCGTTGGGGGTGGTCATGGCTCGTGAGGGTTGGCGTCCGGATTATGGGCTGTCTATGTTCAAATGGCGGTTTGTATGATGATAGATGGGGAGCTTAGGTGACCAGGATGAGTGTGGACTATTTCATTTGGCTCAAAATATCAGATTATGCTAATTCTGCTGCTGCTCATGCTGCCAGGAATATAGATCTGGATCTATGCCCGTATATCCATGTATGGCCAAGGTAGATACCGGCCTTGCGCAGGGACAGAAACACACGTTAAACCGCCATCCACTTTAATCAGGATAAGGCTGGTTCCTCCCCCTGGCAGGGTTCGAGTGTATTAAGCCACTGGACTGCCGTGAAGAAATAAAAATAAACAGGATCTGACTGGGGCGCATCGGCGTCCGATCTGGCGCAAGATCCCAGAATTTGCCACCCAGATTAGCTTGACAGCTGCGGAGAACGCCCGATAGCGATCAGCCAGCCAGCCAGCCCGCTTTGTTTACTAGTAATTGGTCCCCACTGCCCAGTGTTTCTAGAATCCTGCGTGGAAAAAGCGGCGGTTTCTGCAGAGAGATTGTAGTGAGGACGATCAATGCGCGCTGTACTGACAGGCGATAAGCACTGGAGTGTCCCCCCCGAGTGGTCCCTCTTATATCCATTGGTCGCACATGTGCGCTTGTCGTGAAAATGCTACTTGGGCAGTTTGTCATACGGACGTCAGAGAGGATATGGAAGTTCCCAGTAAACTCGCCTATTATCATGGCTACTGCCATAGTTGCCTAGGTACTAAGGTGTACATGCACGGGTGGCAGCAGGTCGTGCCTTCCGCATTGGGAGTTGCTAGTCGCACCTGCCAAAACAAAGGGAACCTCCCATTTTGGTCGTCGTGACACCTGACTTGCTCCTTCCTCTTGTACTTACTTCACTCGCTTTCTTTTCTTTCTTCCTCTCTTCTCCTTCTCTCTCCTCTCTATCCACCCACACACTCGTTCTATCTCGATCCATCTCAACCCATCCGGTTTTCATCACCAGCGTTTCATTGCTTGATTGATCTTTGATTCTGTGTCTTTGTACGCTCAGTCTGTTACTTTTCCCTCTCTGTTTATCTCTCTAATTTCTAAGTGAGCAGAAATAATGGCATTCACCATGAACAAGTTCCTTGCCCTGCTGGCTATTTGGTTCTTGATAGTGGGAACTGTCGTTGGTGGTAAGTATCTCCATCTTGATGACTTATGGGATGGACTCGGATACTAATGATTGCAATCGGTCTCCTAGATTCTATGAAGGAGCTTGACAATGACAGAGATGTTCTGGAGCGTGCTGTTTGTGAGTGCTTTGCTGATTGTCCTCTGTATTGTCTTTGTGCTGACTCCGCAGATCTTGAATCTGGACTTCTTCCTCGTGACGGTACGTAGCTTGTCCAGGATATATGTTGGCTCAATGTACCATCATCTTCATGATAACTGACCTTCGTCTAGGATCTCTCACCGTCACCGTCACCGATACTGTTTGTGCCACTCGGGATACTGGAGTTCCTACCACTTTGATTACCGCTCCACATGCCCCGACTGCGACTCTCACTTCGGTGAATCCGCCTGCCTTGACTACCCCCTGTCCCCCGGAGTCTAAGGGTGACCATACCACTGCAACTGCTCGTCCTGAGCCTTCGTCTATGTCGATTCCCGAGCACCTCACCGGTATTTCTGTCCCTGTCATCTCGACGAGCACAGTTGTGTCCTCGGGTGCGCACCCGAGTACTCATGTGGGCTCTCAGACCACCGGCCCTACTCTTCCATCGAGCTCGCCTGCGACTTCGGCCGGACACCCAGGCAGTCACTCTGCTAGCACCCAGACCACGGGATCGGCTAGCTCTGGCACGGCACCCAGTAGCTCCCATTCTTCCACTGCACCTCCCCTCTCAAACGATGCATTTGCCCAGGGAGGAATGCAAGGTGCGCTGGTGGCCCTTGCCTTGACATTCGTTGGGTTCCTGGCGGTTTAAAGACTGTCTGTTCCACATCCCAGCGATCTTGAATGGCGGACTTGAGCAACATCTGGTCTGGCTGGTTATTTTTTTTATTTACCGCTTTGATGATCTTACGTCGGAGATGTTTACATGATTCAGTTATGTTATTACTCTTAGTGGGTCGCACTACTGACTACACACTTTGCTTCCTGTAATACTGAGGCGTTGTTCGCATCTTCATGATGGGCCAGAGTCCCCTTCGAATCAAATTCTCAAAAGGTTGAACATTGCTTACATTGTAGATGTTACACTACCATGGGTATCTCCTAAGAAACAAACAAATATCGCCTGCAGAGGCTGGACTTATCGCAAAGTCGAGATGGTAGTCAAAGCCGGTATCTCTCGTATATGCACCTGCACCCGGAGCTTGTAAGTCAATGAATCTCACGAAGACACGACGGAAACTCACGAGGTTCAGATCAAGTAGAACGCCTTCCTCTGTTTCGATCGTCTGCGGTCAATACCCCGTATCCATTGAACCCCCCTCCTCAATCTATCTACCATTACGCCTCGATATGACTCTCCCCAAGATTCTCCATCTCCCTCGCCAGGGCACAAATCCGACATCCATCTCCGACCCGATCCCTCAGCAAACGCGCAGTCGTGACCTTCGGCCCGACGGTCCGGGATGCAGCAGCGGAAAGTGACGGTTCGTCGATCATTTGAGTTTGGGTTCGAGACGGCGCCCACGGTCGGGGCGTTTGTGTCGCCGATCGGCTGTCTGGTGAGGAGGTGGGTGATGATGAGGTGGGGTGGACGTGCGATAGGTGGAAGACGTGGCCGCAGGCGAAACCGATGAGGATTTCTTTTTCTGTGGGTGGAGGAGAAAGATGTTAGTTTGGATTTTTAGTTGTGGGTTAGGAGTTATGGTTGGGGTAGGTGGAATGGTACGGAATTGGATGAGGGAAGGAAGAGAGATTGTGTGGAGGGCTGATTCGGAACTTACCATTAGCAATGAAAGGCTGCTGACAGCCTGCACACCGACCCACTTGCGAGGTAAAGGACGAGGCAGCGGAGGCGAAAGGAATAGAAGTACGCTCTGTGTCGGCGTCACTTTTCACCTCGTCTTTGCCTGCGGGGTCGAACGAAGGGGGACCGGCGGGCGGATCTTTGGTCTTGTCGTTTTCGATGATGTTGAATTTGATGCCGCGTCGCTGGCCCCGACGCAGGGTGTCCATGCCGACGGCGACCTCGCTCTGGAGCACCTTGGCAGCGCCCTGGCTGATACTGGCCTGTAGGTCGTGTTCGCGAATCAGTCGGGAAAGTCCCTCGCGGAGACCTTCGATCTCGAGACCGCTAGGGATGCGCCGGACCAGCTTGATGGGGTCGATGGAGGTTCCGGCTTCGACGAGCAGGCCGTGGATGAACCGTGGCTTGTCCATCGAGTAGTCTAGGAGGTCCTCCCAGAGGTCCGGCTCGTTTTGGGACTTAGCGAAGGAGATGGCCTGCGAGACATCTTTAAGATCGGAGAGAATGAGGTTCAAGGCACGTTTGGTCTGCCCGGTCTTGGAGAGGAGATAGATGAGCTCCGGGGTGAAGTGGCGGGTCTCGCAGACGGTGACGGCCAGGTCGAAGGAGTACGAAGTGCTGATCTGCAGGAACTCCATCAGTAATGGACGATCGTAGTCCGCGAAGAGCTCCGCGGCCGTGTCTGCGAAGTTGTCGACCAGCGCTTTCCCTTCATCCGCCGCGAGCTTGCTGGCAGCGTCCCGGATGTGAGCACCATGTCCTCGTCGGGGCTTACCGGCCCCGTGAGGGAGCGATTCGCCTCGCCACAGGGCTCGCAGGTAGAAGTATAAGAACAATAGGCGATTGGTTGCTTTCAGTTGATCGACGACGATTTCCGGACGTACAATGCCCGTGTACGCTTCGCTGACGAGGAGCTTGATGGGCTCAGATGTCACTTCGTCGAGCTCTGAGACGGGCGCGGATTTCATCTGCGCTTTAGACACACGGATCATTATAAATGCCGGGATGTCGTTAGTGAGCTCGTCCAGTAAGCGATGCTCTTTAATAAGAGCCATAGCCGTGTCGGCATCTTGAAGTCGAATATAACAGCGCAATGCTTCGCCGTAGTGGCCGCCGGCGAGATACAATTTGGCAAGACACGCCATCAAAATACGCCAGTCCTCTGTTTGCGCCGCAACCACACCAGGCTGCAGTTCCTCTTCGATTATGGTCGCAATGCTGTTGACGTCAAACAAATCAAAGGACCACGAATCCACCAGCTCACTGAGCCTCTGTCGATTTTTAGTGACATAATGACCAAGAATGGCCTGGTAGGTAGCTGGAGGTAGCGGCGGGCGCAGATCAGTCGGAATGACTGAAGAAATTTCGTCGACCTTGTGGTGTTTGATGAATGTCCAGACCCAGTGATCCCACCTTGGCGTGGAATGAATTGCCTTCACGCACACTTCGGCGGCAGCAGTCCAATTGTTCGCGTCAACAAGCTGCTCTATCCACAGCTCGCCAACCAGACTCTTCTCTTGCTCGGCGGGAGAACCAACCGCCCGGCCGGTCGTCGTGATTGAGGATCTGTCGTCGGCGAAGAACTCCCCAAAACTGGTTTGCGACCGTACGGGAGTGCCGGGTACGCTGTCAATAGGCGGAATGACGGTCCCTGCACCTGCTGCCTCAGGATGCTCGTCGAGGAGGTTCCAGGCTTCTTCGTATCTTTCGTGGGCCTTGAGCCATGCCAGGCGATCGGTCAGTTCCCGCTTGAGTGCAACTACCGAGTCATACGGGCTGTGTATGAAAATCTTCGGTCCTGAGTTGCCTGCAATCGATTGTACCTCCTTCGACGCAGGCTCCTCCACCGAAATCCGCCGCGAGGTAAATGTGCTTGGCGCCCGACTGGAGCCTTTGTCGCCGCTGCTTGTCGTACTGCGAATACTCGCGCCCGAGCTGAACAGTCGCGCAGGATACATGGTTGCATCCCATAACCCAGTCCCCAGAGCTTCAAGTGTTCCACGCTGAGAGACGGAGACACCGGTCTTCCAGGGAGGTATGGCACATAGGTGGTAGTCCGAGGACGTGAGTGTCTCATAACGGCTAACCGAAAGGGTGTCGGCGCTGAGCTCTTCTTTACTTTGAATATCGATGATGCGAAGCTCAGGCTCCAGGCCTCTTGGACGTCGACGACCTCCACGAAGACTACCGTGCTTGGTCCGCTCTTCTTCCGAAACGTCTTTCTCCGCCTCGATGTATGCAAGAACCACCAGCAACGTCGGTGTATAAAGCGATATGCCGGAGATAACACAGTCGGTTCGTAATCTAGCATGATATTAGCCACTGATCTACATTTTGGGAGTGTACGCCAGACTTACATCGTCGCGACTTCGACAGATCCAATTCTTCGATCCTTGTTGGATTTGCTTGGCCGATCAGGGTAAACGTCAATCACCCAAACAGTGCCGCCCCATCCTACCACCAGCTTTTCAACCCTTTCTTGGGTGGGGATCGCCTGGGCCGGGGTGGAATGGTCCTGGGATCCTTCCCGCGTCTTGGAATCTTCACTTCCCCAGGCTCGTTCATCAACCCATTCTGCACGCGCTTTCCAGACACTAGCCATCTCCTCCCATCCTGTACGGTTGGGGCGATCGATGTGACTGACACGCCTCCAGGCAAGTTCCGCATCCGCCGAGTCCAGATGGAGGTTAGATCGCATGATCTTGATCCCTTCCTCATTGACCCAGACGACGTATTTCCCTGACAAAGACCACTTTATTGTGCTAATCGCACCCTCTCCGCTATGCAGAATGCTGTCCTTTCCTGTGCTGCCTCCTAGGCCCAGGGACCCAAGCCAGCTGGTGGCAGTGGCTGCAGCTCCCCCCATTGTAGTCGAATTTGTACTCGTACCCACTCGGCCACCTGTGGTGAGTATAAGATCGCCAGCGCGCCCTCCCGACAAGAATGTTCGGTCGGTTTTGTAATCTGGAGAAAGTGCCACCGCTTGAACGGGCCTGCCGAAGTTCCGCAAGAGGACATCTTTGGGGTCTACAAGAGACGCAACGCATACGTTTCCATCCAGCGAAGACGTAGCAATGTAGATCGCATTCGAAGGTGTGGAAGGGATGACCGATTGATGGCTTGACCTTGATTGGCCGCGAATACTGCCGCCGCTGGACAATGGTTTGGTCGGGTGACCGAGATCTTCGTGTACTCTCGTAAGGGTGTCTGATTTGATGCTCGGTAGAGGTGGAGGGAAGGGTGACACCGAGATAGACGTCACGCTCGCCGAGTGTGCATGGTACACACGCAGCGACTGAAACAGGGGGAGTGACAGTACATGCTAGGAGGGATGTTAGCTACACAAAGCACCCCACGTCAATGAGGATGCCACTTACAGTATTGCCATTATGGGTTCCAATTATCTAGAGAAATTCTCAGCATCTGCAAATACCCAAGAAATACTCAAACATAGCATACCATCTTATCACCCGCGGCGAGAAAGGAGCTCGTTGCATCTCCGTTGCGATACACCGCCCCCAAATGCTTCGTCATGTATGTGTACTTCAGCCGGGGCTCTTCCTCCTCCTCATCATTGTCCTCGTCCTCTTCGGTCTCCTCCTCGGTCGCGGCACCCTCCGTTTCGTCGTCATCGTCATTCGTGTCCTCTTTGTCACTCTTATCCTCGGTTCGGTGTTTGCGATGGGCGGTAGGTGAATGGACAATCTGCTCGGCAGATGCCTCCATCGTTGGGCTTATCCGAAGGGCATCCTCCGATGCCTCCGTCGCGCCAGGCGCGTCCATGGCGAGAGCCTTGTTCCGTGCCTGGGACTGGGTTGGGATAGTCGGGCTCCCAAACTACCAGCGAGCTGCTGCAGCTGTTCCGGCGGACCTTCAAGGCAGGTGGTGACCTAATGCGATGACTAAGCCGCGGCACCTTCACAGTCTCCGCCCGGCCAACTTTGGAGAACTTCAATCGTCCGTCCCTCTTCTGTTTTCTTTCTTTCGGCGTCAATGTTCGCAAGACCGTCCGTCTGCTCGGCTTGCAAGAAGCCTGCGGTGTTGAGGCTTGTACAGCAGCCCCGAAGTCAGTACCTTCATGCGTCCTCACCATTCAATCTGCCCCGCCGGAAGGACTTTTTCTCCTCCAATGCCTACCTAAATCAGAAGCAGTCCAAATTCGGGGATGTGAGCTCTGAATCGCTCTCGGAACCACAGAAGCAACGGAGGAGAAGTAGTAGGTTACCGGCCGCTTCGACCTCCCTGCGACGGGTCGCAGTCGAGGCACAAAGGTCGAAGGATGGCTTTGTATCCCGGGCCCAGCTCCGAGAACAGGGGCTTTATCAGACTAAGGTACGGACACTTACATATCTACATTAAATGAACAGAATTCTCATTATGACTACGACAATAGACCGTAACAGCCTACGCCGTATCAGAACAGTTTGACATGCGGAAAGTCAGAACTATTCTGCAAGACAGAGGCTACGAGCCAGATCCGTTCGAAACCGGCCTATACCCCCAAGTCATTCATATTCAGGTTCCCCTAGACTCTATTCGACGTGTGAGCAATCCGAGTGCGGCCGACCTCCCCCCGGATGAAATCGGTGATATCTTTGTTTTCCCGTCTGGTACGGTCGTGGCATGGGGGCTTCCCGAAGGGTTCACATCCTTCTTGGCAACGAGGACTTTACTTCCAGCGGCCGAGGGGGCTCATGTCGACGATCTGGAAACGGAGGATCTCGAATTCGTTGAGGACCCATCTCGGGAACTCAGTAGCATTAAGGGTGACACCATCATTCTCGGGACCAAGCCCAGTACGAATGAAGCCGAGCCGCAGCAGCCGGGGAATCGACAATCCGTAGAAACGGTCCTCAGCAAGGTTGCATTCTCCTCGGGACTCGCTCGGAGTACAAAGCTGGCGGTCTTGGAGGCATTGCTATCGAACTACTTCGAGTCCACCAGACCTATCCCAACGATGCTGTCTCAAGGCTCCCGTCTTCCCTTTACAAGGGATTTCATTCTTCGCAAGACGGGCCAGCTGCTGAGCGTTCGTGCACAGCTGAATCTGTACTCGGAACTTACAGACTCCCTACCCGATATCTTCTGGGACAGCCGACATGAGCTCGGATTAGAGGGATACTACGAGCAGGTAGGAAGGGCCTTGGATGTGGGAATCCGCATCAAGCTTTTGAACGAGAAGATGGACTATGCGCAGGAGATCGCCAGTGTTTTGCGTGAGAGACTGAGCGAGACGCATGGCCTCCGACTTGAGTGGATCATCATCCTGCTCATTGCCGTGGAGGTAGGTTTCGAGGTGTTGAGGCTGTGGAAGGAACGGGTCCATGAGAAGGAGCTGCAGGGCGAGGGAGAGACTGCGGAATGAGTGGCCTAGAATTATCTGTACAGCACATCGCGTCTCTCCTCAATATGATACCCTTTTAGTTGTCTGTCCAAATCGGGAAAGGAGCTGGTCACGTATCTTATCAGCTGACCGTCTGCATGTGACGGCTCCGGCTGAGTCATCCGCCTATCATTGCTTCACGTGCTGCGTCATGGGGCGTCGCCTCACTTGGAGCTGACCTTCTTAAACTTAGAGGGACCGATAGCTGTAGTTTCGTTGCTCGTTCCTGAATTCCTACATCGACCCTGATTCTCCTGGTTTCAAATAAATAATTCATTCCTCCCGACCAAGGCGCCATTGCAACAACGCCATGGTCCTCCCTATCGGTGATATCAATGACTCCACCGCATCCTCGATAAGGCATCGCCTACTCCAATCACTCCCAGGACCCCAGCAGGTCCTGAAGGCCTTGACAGGCTCATTGAGCATATCCTCGCTCTCCGGGTCGGACATTGACACCTCACAGAACATTTTCCAGCATTGCTCGCAGCCGGAGCTGAGCTGTCAAACCAAATATCACGGCCAAGACACTTGCTGCTTCAACTACCCGAGTGGACAATTCCTCCAGAGTCAATTCTGGGATGCCGACCCAGCAATCGGACCGGAGGATTCGTGGACCATTCATGGACTCTGGTGAGCTTTTGTACACACCGTTGTGCTGGAAGGCTATGGAATCTCTAGTATATATATGTGTGTGTTCGGAGACACTGACCCTCGGCTCTTCCTCCTCTAGGCCGGACTACTGTGACGGCGGATTCGAGCAATACTGTGACAATGGTCGGAGATACAGCAACATCTCCTTAATCCTCGTCGACTCCGGCCGAGGCGACCTGCTGGATGACATGCGACGCCTTTGGAAAGACTGGCACGGCGACGACGCGAATCTCTGGGAGCATGAGTGGAACAAACACGGCACTTGCATTAGCACGCTGGAACCCCACTGCTACGATAGCGACTACTACCCGCAGCAAGAGGTGGTTGATTACTTTGATAAAACCGTCGAGGTTTTTAACGATCTTCCAACGTACAAGGTTCGCGTCTCACTACTTTCTTTTCGTCTTGCTTCTTGCTCCCAACGCTCCAGACACTAGAAACATATGTATATCTAACCAGGACAGACCCTTGCCGACGCCGGAATCTACCCGTCGTACGAGAAGACATACACCCGGCATGAAATCCAAGATGCTCTGACCAAAGCGCACGGAGCCGAAGTGTCCATCCGGTGTCGACACAACGCCCTAAACGAAGCCTGGTATTACTTCAACATCGCCGGGTCCTTGCAAATGGGCAAATTCGTGCCTTCTGAGCCGGGTATGCTCCCTTTCTCTTTACTTTCCACTCCCAGCATGATAGAAAATGTCAGACCCATCCCACCTGGTTACGAGAACTAAAATCTAACCCGATTTACGTGACCCCAGACGGCCAGAAATCCAACTGCCCAGCCAGCGGCATCCGCTACCAGCCCAAAACACCCCGCAAGGGAACCCCAACCAAAGGTCCGTCCGAACCCACGGCCCCTAGCACGCCCTTCACAGGACGCGGCAACCTGGTCGTCTCGACGCCCGGGCAACGGAGAGGCTGTATAATCAGTCGCGGGACGTGGTTCACGTCTGGGACCTGCGCGACGTTCAGAGTTAAGAAGACCTCTGGTTTGTTGATCCCTCCTCTTTCTAACCCTCTTCTTGCTCTTCCTTTCTCTTCTTCCACCTCTTTCTTCCCTTTGACACAAACCCATTCATACCCGGTTTCCCAATATACATATGCACCCGTTTCACTAACCGACTTACAACCGTATAGACGAAAACAAATCGTTCACATTACAATCTAGCAAAGGGGCGTGCGCATTCGAAGACGATGTCTTCAGCTGTGGTCCCCACGTGACATCGGCGACTGAGTTCAGTGTAAGTAGCGCCCACTTTACCTTCTTACCTTACCTTGCATCCTACTCCCTGTCTTTCTCTCTCCATATACCCATAAATACATAGAGAGAGAGAGAGAGAGAGAGAGAGAGAGAGAGAGAGAGAGAGAGAGAAACGAAAATATACAACCCCCAACCCTAAAATCCACTAACATATAACATACTAACACCCAATCTCAGGCCCAAGACGCAAAACTCTCATACGGCGGAAACACAACATTCTTCGCAGACAAGACACCCAAAGGACCCGTGAAGAGCGAAGTATTCGCATCCGAAGCAGATCATCCGATCCAGCTGGAGATTAGCTGGAAGGGGGATTATTAACTAACCAACTTCTAACTAACCACTGGGTATTTACTGTATCTTAGTGACTGATTCTTTTTGCCCCGCTCGGCTATGACGCTGGTCTCATTCTGTTTGTTTTTCAGTTATGTGCATGGTTCTGGAAATGTAGAAATTGTCTCGGATAGAACCTGCGTTGCATTAAATGGATGGGTGGTGCTTATACTCTTGTATTGTGATCATGGATATTAGTATACAGATATTAAATAGACTTACCAGGAGATCTATAAATAAGTATGTATGAGCACGATGAGTCCGTCATAATCGGTGGATTCTATTGCTAAGTTAAAGTACAGGCCATGGAAACTACCAAGGGGAGATTAAGTATCTAACAGAAGAGTTCGCATGCCGCCAAGGTCACAAAAATATGAAATAACATATCAGGTCAAGGTAAAAATCAAAAGCAAAATTCATTTAGTACAGTCTTAAAATCATCGCAAAACGTAACAGCGCGTAAAGTCAAAGCATCATCAACGTAGAACTCGATGCATCGAGTTAGAAGAAAACGAACGTAAAGAACAATAAAAATCAAAAACAGACAAGAAATTCGTCAAGCAAGTAAAAAGAACGGATGACCTGCAGAACTCCAATGTTTTGGCAATGAAAAAAGTTTCCCGCAAGTCCCAGAATTTGTTGTCGTACACGTAAAATCGCTTTGAGATGAAGATGAAAATATCGATCGCAATGAAATGCACCAGATGGAAACAACATTCAAAAAAAGAAAGAAGAATTGGAAAATGGCCCGAAAGTTCTTGTCACAGATGTCATTCACAATGGATAAGCTTGTGTCGTTGAAATCATTTGTCGTTGGAAAAATTGTACATAAAATCTTGGTGTCGTTATCACTTTTGAAAAGAGTTGTCATAAAATTGGGTTTCGCTGTTTCGAGTCGTTGAAATCCTTAAGTCATGAGAAGGTGTATCTTGTTGCACGTTGGCCAGTAAAGCCAGAAGAAGTCGTCCGTCGTTAGCTCGTCAGTCCCAATTTTGTTTCTGTTTATTTTGTAGCTGTGTCCCCCGCCAAAGGGTTGATGTTCGTCGGTTGGCATGGTCGCCTTTAATCCATGAGGAATTCTCGGGTCATGACATCGGATGGTTGCTCATCGACCTGAAATTGGAAAGAGAAGAAATCGTCACTCATAGGGGGACCGGCAGAGAAGCCTTTGCCAGAAAACAAATCCATTCCGGGTTCGAAAGAGGAGTTCACGTAGTCCGGAAACGTAGCCATGTCAGGGTCTGCCAGGTCGGGGAATTCATGCTTGCCGAAGCCCGTTGAAGGAGCCTGGCTGATGAAGATATCGAGATCGGAACCATGAGACGAGTGGGTCAGGGTTGGTGCGGTATGAGGGGAGGACAATGCATGGGTGGTTGAACAGGCAACGTCCGTGTAGGGACAGGCGTCACTGTTCGTCAAAGACGGCATGCCGTGTTCCTCGATGATCTCGTCCAGAGGGCCTTTGGAGGGTGACAATGGGAGCATCTCATCCTCCGTGCTGGGAGTAACCGATCGCTCGCTGTAGGTTGGAGATGTTCCGTGATCATGACTACCACCAGGAGATGCAGGAGGCGTGAAAGTGAAGACCTCCGGCGGCAGCGAGTAGTTGGGGTTGTTGAAGACTGGCATATCTGTGGCAGGACTAGGAGCGCGTAGGCTCATATTCTCAAACACCTCTGACGGCGGCGAGTTGCGCGACGAATCCGACTCGAGGGAGGCAAGGAACTTTTCGGCGAGTTTTTGGCGAGTCTTCGAGGTCTTCTGCTGTTGCTCCTCGGTCTCGGGACGATGCTTCTTGGGACGGCCTCGCTTCGTCGTCTTGCGGACGATGCCCTTGTAGCCGCCGATGCACATGCCCCTCTGTCGGTGTCGGGTCAAGGCATCATGGCGGGCGAAGACGTTTCCACAGAGGCACTCGTATGGCTTGTCCCCGGTGTGGATTTTGGCATGGCGCTTGAGATCGTGGCCACGGACAAAGCATTTATTGCAGTGGTCGCACTTGTACTGGCGATCGCCCAAGTGGGTCTGAACGTGGGACTTGATGTTCTCTTTTCTGCCAAAGCGCCGTTCGCAACCGGGATGGAGGCACACCCACTTCCCGTCGTCGGCATCGGGGCCGTGGATGAAGGATGCGATCTCGTCCATGGTGACACCGGTCTCTTTGATGGATGCATGAACACGGTCATCTAGATTGAGGTTCTCGATCGAAGCGTTCTTGGGAGAAAGTCTGGCCTTCGAGGTGGAGCTAGTGCTAGAGCGCTCGCTAGGGGACATCCTCAGGCTCGGACGGCTGGGCGTGGCAGGGAATATCGGAAGCTTATCGGGACGTTCATTCTCATCTCCAGGGCACGGCATGGCGGCAAGCACCGGAGAGGAATGAAACGAGGACGAGGCTGATGACGAAGCATACTGGCTCTGTGCGAAGTTCTCGGACTTAGGGATTTCAAAACTAGATCCTTGCTGACAATCAAAAGTATCAAAGTTATCCATTTCAAATGACGCTGTATGGGGAGGGGAGGGCATTTCAATCTTCGGCTGCGTGAATGTTGTCCCAGCCACTCCTTGGAGTGACTTGGCACGTTGCATATACGACGACTGGGCTGAGGCCGGCATCGAACAATTCTGCCCCTTGGTGGGCGTTGGTTGCATGTCGTACTGAGCGAGATCCACCGATCTCTTGAATGGCGTCGTTGCTGGGGTAATCGGAACGTAATCTGCTCTTGCAGTCAGCGAATGAACGGATTGAGATGCGAGACAGAGGTCCTGCGTGACTTACGTGTGTTAGTGGGATGCTTCGGCGTGCGAGGTTGTTGAGGGATCTGTACGTCGGACTGCATCGAGAGCCGTCTCATATCCGCAGGGACGGCGTTCGTCTGGTTTGTAAATGCAGAAGCAAGGTTGTTGTTTGAATAGAGGTTCCAAGTGCCATTTTCCAGCAGTTGGCTGTCGAGTGGGTTGTTACACGAGACTTTCGAGTGCTGTTGGATCAAATTGAAATCGGTGCTCATCGGCCGGCTGTCGAGGTTTTGGCCTTCCAGTTTGATCATGTTCGCGGTGGCATAAGCCATACCTGATTGACTGTCCCGAACATCGCGGTTAGTGAGAGCGCGCAGGTCTTCCTCGCATAGATCCTGGCACTCGGGCACCATCGGCATAGTCATTGGCAGCTGGGGAAATGACGACTGAGCGGCGCGCATGTAAATTTGGTGTTGCTGTTCCCCGATCATATGCGGGGGTTGTTGGGGTCCTGTTACGCTAGGGTTAGTAGAAAAGGTGCCATCTCGCATGGCCTGCGGTCGTTGCATGGGCAGAGATCGTTGATCAAAGCTTTGTCCTCGGCGATGGGCATGATAGCGGTGCAGTGCCTGTGCAGGGAGGGAAGGAGCTTTGGCGGCTTCGAGCACGGATGGCGTGGAGATCTGCCTGCGATGTTGTCGATGCCGCTCATGCAGATTTCTCTGTGGATTGGCAAGCATGGTGGGCAAGATCTCGGAGCAAGCGTCACGGATGGGCTGCCGACGTAATTGATAGATCTAATGCGACGTATGTAAGTGTCCGGCCAGGTCTCATGCAGGACGCAACAGATCCGGGACTTCAGGTGCATACCTCGAAACGCGCGACCCGGTTTTTGGCTGGGCCAAGGGAGATGGTAGATAGGACCGCCCTGTAGCTGTGTCAGTCGGTGAACCGTACAAGCAAGAGCACAAACCGAGAAGGTTAGGAAATAAAGGAAGAGAGCAAAAGCGTCAGTAGACTAGACTAGATCGCGCTATGCGTTAGATCTATCTAAAAACGAAAAAGGAAGATAAAAAAACGACGCTTTTCTGGTTCAAAAGCTCCCAGCAACAAAACCAGTAACAGTTGTCGAAGCTTCCTGCGGAGAGACTGAAACTCGGTTCTGAGTGACAGATGGGAAACAGCGAGACAAAGGAAGTTAAGGTATTTAGAGGTGGAAACCAGAGGAAAGGTGGATGGGGATGATGAGGCTATCCCGATCTATCGCCCACGGTTCAGATCAACAATGGCGGCGTTGCTAGGACAACATCGCCCGGCTGAGGCGTCTGGGAAACCAGCGCTCCCTTGGCATCGCCCCGGCCACTGGTGCAGCGTAGTGGATCGTCGGGCTCCCTGGTTCCAGCGGATTACTCCTCTCAAGTGGTCCGAACGCAATTAAGGCAGCGTTAGTCACTGGTCGTGCCCTGCAAGGAGCTGGTTTTCCGCATCTCGCCCCTCGCGGTCCAGACAACGCAGCCTCTCTTCAATTATCTATTACCATCGCGTCCCTGGGATTGAAGGGGCGAATCTGTGGCCTGTGAGGGTTTGAGACACTATTACACATGGTGCTCCCTTTCGCCGCAATAGTTGAGGAAATAATTGGACGCCAATCTGGCCATCATTGGTCAATAAAGGGCGGTTGCGAAGGCGGCAAGAGACGAAGTAAAAAGGCGATGATGATGTTATTTTGGTATTTTGGGCCAACACGGCGTGAGTGCCTGAGGGCCCAGGCTGCCATCCGGCCATCCGGTGATGTAATCGCCCAGACCGCGTCCCGTGATTTCAGACAGAGTCACATGACCAGGAACCTCGGAAGAATCCAAAGTCCGCTGATCGGGTGGCGCTAAGACCGATCAGGACAGGGATCGGCACGTGACCACACAACCGATTTTAACGCACTAAGCCTCTCCGCCGCTGCATATTTTCGCACCATCTCGAAGGTTGAGGAAGACATCTTGTCGAGGTGAGTTGGAATACCCGTACCCCGAGGGTTTCACGAGGAATAGAACTGGGAAGCTGTCTTGAGTCTCTTGATCTTTTCAGCCTCTGCCTCGTGCAGCGTGATGGAAAAATTTCAGCGACTGTCGCACCGAGAATGAGGGAAAGAGACTGAAATGGATCGACATCGACGAAAGACACTTCTCAGCACCTCACGATATTCGAATCAAGTCGCACATTCCGGAATAGCAAACTAACAGTCGCAATTTAACCAGGCCTTCATCAAGATGCAGATCTTCGTCAAGACCCTCACGGGTAAGACTATCACCCTTGAGGTGGAGTCGTCGGATACCATCGACAATGTCAAGTCCAAGATCCAGGGTAAGTTCTCTTTGCGCCGCAACATCTCAGTGAGAAAATCACGAGACTGATTCAAATGTCACCATAGACAAGGAGGGAATCCCCCCTGACCAGCAGCGTCTGATCTTCGCTGGTAAGCAGCTGGAGGACGGCCGTACTCTTTCGGACTACAACATCCAGAAGGAGTCGACCCTCCACCTGGTGCTGCGCCTGCGTGGTGGTGGTAAGAAGAGAAAGAAGAAGGTGTACACCACCCCCAAGAAGATCAAGCACAAGCGCAAGAAGACCAAGCTCGCCGTCCTTAAGTACTACAAGGTCGACGGTGACGGCAAGATCGAGCGTCTCCGCCGCGAGTGCCCCGCCCCCGAGGTACGTTCTTTCCCTCCTTTTCATTCACAAGGGATCCTGTAGATGGCTAACTTGTTCCCTTCTAGTGTGGCGCTGGTGTCTTCATGGCCGCTATGCACAACCGCCAGTACTGCGGCAAGTGCCACCTCACCTACGTCTTCGACGAGTCCAAATAAGCGGACTAAGCGCGAGTCGCCCCGCCTCTCTTTATATCCGGTCATCTTCGGTGGAAGTTAGGTGGAGTCAGGTTGAGGAGTATTTATGATGGTTTACAAGATCAAATCATAGTAGCCTGCAATATGACAAATGAATAAACATGAGAACAACGTAACTGATACCTGCCTACTGCAGCTGGGAATCACCGGATGCACCCTGTAAGCCAGTATGTACACTTAGGCAACGCAACGAATGTACTAAGAGCAGCAAGCGGCCCGAGTAAAAATTCAACCAAAAGAGGGACACAATCAAAAACCAAACGGAAGTAACTGATTTCAACTGCAACCGAAGTAGAGCAGTCTACTGCATCTTGGCTTTCAAGTTGTCGTACTTGCTCTCGGGGTAGTCCAGAGCGTTGGCCGACTGTTCCAGGGCCCCCGATCCGCCAACGCCTTCCACAAAGGTTCCGATCAGGCTACCGTCGCCTTTGTTACCAGTCTTTCCACCCCGATCGCCGCTGGTTTCCCACCACATGCCACCGCCGAGCTTGTTCTGTTTGATGAAGTTCACTTTCTGCTCCGCCATGCGGACATTGTCGTAGGACACCATAACGCGGGCAGACGAGTCATAGGTCCAAGATGCGCCGGTCTGGGAGTCATACTGCTCCGTTGCACCACTTCTGGGCAAGGCCTTGTAATCCCAAATACCATTCTCCCAGCTTCCCTGCCCGACTCCGGAGAAGGGGGTGCCCGGTCCGTCGGTGTTGGTAAAAGCACGTCCGTAGAGGGGCATTCCCAGCACGATCTTCGCCGACGGGACTTGGCCGACATTGGTGTAGTAGTTCAGGGCCTGCACGGTCGAGAACGGAGTGGACGCAGCATTGCTGTTGGAGAAGTTGATGTTGGCCTGGTGGCCAGCCTTGGAGTCCCAGCTTCCGGCGTAGTCGTAGGCCATCAGATTGTAGAAATCCAAATAAGGAGTCATCTGAGGCAGCTTGAGCTTGGTGTAATTCTCGGGGCCTGTATGGAAGTTAATCGCATGGTCAATATATCAGTCTGCAGTTCACTTACCAGCCGGGCAAGCAATCGTGAGATAGAATTTCCGGTTGCTACCGGCAGCCTTGTCAAGAGTCTATGCCAGGTCAGTATCAAATATTGTCCCTAGACGCGGATCAACGCAGACATACCTCGCGGCACTTCTTCAGAAGCAAGACAAAGTTCTGCGCCTGGGTTTCATCTATATTCTCGTCAGCACGACAGACTCAGAACGTGACCAAGTTAACCTCGAATTACCTTGAGGATATTCCCAATCAACATCGAAGCCTTTGACGAACGTGTCAGCCATCAACGAGTTATTCTACAAGGCACAAGGTAAATCTTACCATCCAGGCCCAAATCCAACACCAACTTGGTAGCACTCTCGGCAAATTTAGTCCGTCCAGCGTCGGAGTTTGCCGGCTGAGCAAAATTGGAGGAGTAGGTCCATCCTCCGATGGAGAGCAAGATCTTCAGCTTGCGGTTCTGCTTCTTCAGCAGATAGAACTGCTTAATGCAGCCATAGACGTTGGTGCCAACGTCGTTCCAGGAGTCCGTGGGATAGTGTTTCTCGATGTCGGACCAAGTGTCGGACAAGTACCTGTGGCGGGATTAGTTCGTGTATCAAAATACTGGTGGGAGAATACGTCAATGTCAATGCTTACACTTCCCCGGATTCCGGGCGCACGTTGGCGAAGGCATACAGAACGTGGGTCAATTTGTCAGCAGGGACATCCTGGGGATTATGGTTGCGTCCGTAGATCGCCTTTTCAACATTGAGTTGGTTAGATGCCAATCCTCAAAGTGACAAACGCATGAGAGAGACCAGGCATATAGACGACGACATTCAACTTACCCAATTGACAAAGTAAGCGACAGACTTCATGGAAGACATGGTGGGCTCCGATGAGTTCTCGGGAGTGGCTACGGAAGTATTCGTAGGGCTGCTAGGATGCAGGGGGATCAGAGTTGGATTAGATCCAAAGTAACGGCAAGAGAAAAAGATCACCACGCCGAGCACGACGAGGTAGTTTAAAAAAGGAGGGAAAGCCATGAGTGCCAGCGACGTGAGTTGCACTTACTCTACTTTGGCTTGACAGATTCAGAATCGATTCTCACAGGAAGCTGCAGCAGTAGCTCCGATGCTGCCTCAGGCTTACCGGGAGTGGTATGGTATGACGTCGGGATGAACTAGTCCCAAAACAGAAATAGAAACAGGTGGCGGTGCAAGGCACGGCGTGGGGAACGGTGGCTGGTGAGTGTTGTCTGTGGCTGATGTGACAGGAACCAGATCTACAGATGGACGGAGGTCGCCTTTTTATAACTCTAATCTGAGAAGTTTGGAGACACAGAACTGTCTCTTCCACATTGTCTTGTTGTTTGAAACATCCTGGGGAACTATTTAGTGGCGTAGTCATTCATTCCTCAGTCTGACCTTTACATTCCGGATGACTACAGCAACGTCGCTTCGATGAAGAGCCAAAGTCGGACTGTGTAGACGAGAGTTCAATCACACAGAGAATCTGTCAGATCCTCCTCATCTGATGAGCGCCCATCAATCTGTCACAAGAGCATCTTAAATCCGACGAACAAAGGATTGACCATGTTGAGAGATGGTCAGAACATCGAGGCCAGACTAATGGTCGAGATACTAAGATCGACAGGGTCTAGAAAACCCAAGAGTCGTATCTTAACCATCGTAACGATCTCGAACGATAAGCTGTGTTAGGGACGCGCATGATATTCATGATCGGAGCTAAATGAGCTCTTAAGGCCATCATGGGAACTGGGGTTGCAGTTGGCAGCCGTCGGGGTGACTTGGTGTAACATCCTAACTGAACAACCGAGGCGACGGGACGAGCAGCGCAATATATCCTATCCCCAGGAGGGAAGATGCTGGGTTTCGGTAGAGCCCCCTGACTCAAAAGACGGGCTGGAAGATTGTCAAAGGGCTACATCGCATGACGCAGATACCCCCGACTGTGTAACAGGGCGGGTGATGAGGAAAGCGACCCCGGTCGAGGGTCCCGGCGGAAGGGAAGGAAAGAAAAGCAGAGAAGTCCACGGAACAACAAAATCCAAAAATCCAACCAAGAAAAAAGACATGTTCTAAAGCGACAGAGAAGTGAAAAAAGATGTGATTAGGTCCATCAGGAACAATCTTGTTCATCGGCCCCTCAATTCCCTCATGGTCGCTGAATGGGTCCCTGACGCCGGGCAACGTGGCAGATGACTCTAAAGCCGGAAAGGGTCGAGAACCCACGACGATAAGAAGAGGATAGACTGGATTAACTCCGGTTCAGCTGAGGTCTTCCTGGCCGCCCCTCACGACGATGGCCTCCGGGTCGCTGATTGGCATTCCATCGGGGCAACTACTGCAGGGCTCTTCTGCACGGCCACCGTCTAACCGTCTGAGATCCCACCGCACGCGCCCGACTCTAATCGAACCGAAAGGCGTGGGTCACGAACTTAGCGCTGCACTAGCAACCAGTCACTGGCGACGGACGGAGCATGGGAAACGCCCCGGAGGAGTCCAAGTTTCAGGTTCAACTGCCATGCATCCGCGGGAGCGTCTTTCAGCTGGGATGTGTTCGAGGCAGATCCACCACAGCAGTCGGTATCGCCGACGCGGATTCGTCGCTTGACGACAACGGTGATGATGATTATTATTATCTACCTGCCATTCTGGGACTATTATCACATCGTATGAGATTCGACCATTCGACGGAATTATTACTATTTCATTCTAATTTTTTTTTTATCTCGCTCCACAATTTCTACCCGTGGGGATCCACCGTGGGAAAAAGTAGGGTTTGACAGGCAACGCCTCCGAAAGCGCAACCACGTAAATAGTAGTAGTATGAGTTGCAAGAAAGAGAAATCAAACGAAATAGCAGAGCTATCTTATTGAGCTAGCCAGAGCGAGTCCTATCCTTATTCACAAGTCTCAAATAATGCCGAAATTGAACCGGTTGAACCATGTACGTATGTAAAGGTTTCATCTCATTCTCATCTGACTGGTACAGATCCAGAGTACATACATCCAAAGAAAACAAAAAGATAACCAGAAGAAAGTTTAAACCTCTCGCAGAGAGTGCCATCCATCATCTAACGTAAATCAAACCAATCAATCACTCGTAGGGGATATCATCACTGTGTATCACACAACAAAAATAGAAAAGAAAAAACGCTTTTTCTGCCGGGCAAGAGTTAAGCGACCTGCGCTTAAGAATCTTACCATGCCACCCCCGATATTAAGCGTAGAAACGAAAAGATCCATCAATCCGTCAATGCCGTGGCCCGAAACCGTTGAGGACCCCCAATCAATCAATCAATAAACATCGTCACATCCTCTCCTTTGGCCCTGATTGTGCCAAGAAATGTCAGGCATCCAATCTTTCTCCTTATTGGGTGCCGTCTTGTTTAGTTTTTTATTTATTCTTTTGTTTCAGTCTTTTTCTTTAGTTCATGGATTCGAACGGATCCAGTTCAGGATCATCTCCAGGGACGGATCATCGTCAAGCCAATGGCCAGCGCGCACATCAGCGGCTCGAAGATCGGCAACAACGTGTTGGTTCGTTACCTGAGCTAGTTCCTGCCAAGGGTTGTCACTCGTCAGTCCACCGGGCTTGTTTGAGATAGATTGAATCGGATGCATGTATGTCATTACCTGTCGGAATGTATTGCTGATGGCCTTAAGTTGCGACGCATGTTGAGGACCCGGTCTCTGGCCTCGGAGGAGGTTGGCGCGATGCATCGCCCATCGCTTTGCGGCTGCCGCTCGCAGGTAAATGCGATGAGCTTGGAATCGTCGAGCACTTCCGTCAAGGATGACCCTGTGATCATAGTCAGATCAGTAACTGTTTTGTCTTGGAAGACTTGATTATCCGTAGTCGCATGCATACCTTCTTAGCTCTGCTTTCTCGGTTTCGGCAGTGCTGCCGTGGTTGGCCGGCATGCTGGGGCTGTAGCTGGATGACATCAGGTTCTGGGCGGCGGCCAGGGACTCCCGGATCACGACGAATCCTTCTTCGTAGTAGTCATCGGCCGGAACTTGGACGTTTTGCTGAGGGATGTGCAAAAGGAGTGTGCGGTAGTCGTTGATAATCTCTGCCAGTCTTAGGGCTCGGGCTTGGTTGACTATACCAAGTTAGATTCATTAGTCGGCCATTGCTTCCCAGGTAGATTAAAGATCCAGTCCAGAAGGCAATTACTCACGTCCGTCTGACATGATGGTGATCGCGAGTCTTGGTAGTCAGGTCGTTTTACCAGAAAAGGACCCAAAGACTCTATAACGAGAGGGAATCGGCGAAGAAAAAAGAAAGCAATTGAGAGCCAACGAGGCGACCAACAGGTATGCAAATAGAAACAAGTCTAGTACAGAGATAGAAAATATAAATCAGATAATAATCACGACACAAGAAGAAAGTGGAATGAATGTTTCATCTCTGAAAAGTTGGATCCATGGTTCGAGGGTGAGATATGCCTTTTAAGGTTATTTCGGTATCCACGGCCACGATGGGAATTGACGGGCCTCGAGCGCATGTTTCCATAAGCAGGCCTTTCGGACAGCTCTGCAAAAAGAGGATCATCATTGTTCGTGGCTGGCTGCACCAATGGAGGCTGATAATGGAGAACCAGGACATCACAGCTAGAGACTGCAGCTGGGTCATAGTATCCGTGGTGGATCTATAGCAAAACAAAGGCGATTAGTCTCCGGACCATTTACGGGGTTCCTTTTTGAGGACTAAAATTATTATATTTTTTTTTCGACCGGCACAAATGATATAATTGCTGACATTCCAAGCGTGAACGACGCAGCTGGAATGAATAAGAATATGAAACCATGTCGGGTCTACATGTGCATAAGAATTAAAGGCAAAACAAGAGAATGTACAATACGAGAGGGAGGGCCAAGTGTTAGGCTGTGGGCAGTGACAATTAAAAAAAAAGAAAGAAAAAATATAAAATAAAGATAGAATTAAATCAAAATTAAAAATCAAAAATCAAAAATCCAAGCGGACTAAAACCCCACAAGGACTGAACGCAACAGCAGCAGGTTGCAGGATGATACATCCTTTCATCCCCTCCTGTCGAGAGAGCCAGACCGGCGGGATTTCTCATCCACCGTGGACTTCCTGGAACGGACTGGATCTCGGAAGACGGTAGGTGCATCTCGCAGGTGAGAGAGTGGGGAGGGAGAGCGAAAGACACAAAGCGAGGGCGAAGGAATGGGTCGGAATGGTCGAATGAATGGGCTGATTGATTGCCCGTTCGGCGAACTAAAGCAGGACTAAAAGGGCCAGCTGGGCTGTTTGGACTCGTTGACGCCACACTCTAACGATGCAGTTCAGGCCGAGACAGTAGGCATGAGGCATGGAGGCATGAACTGAACTGTAACCGGAGGATCTCGTTAGTTCGTCAATAGTCAATAGTCACGGACAGTCTGAGTCTGACACTGACGGACTCCCTCTCCAGCCTCAACAACAGTCAGATTTACTATTCTTGACGCGAAAGCCACACTTCCCAGCTCAGCCACAGCGGCTGAACCGCTATAGCAGCCTCAGGCAGCCAGTCCGACGGGTGGCGATTTTCCTGCCGTCGAATCCACTCCGAGCCCGTCCATCCACTCGCCTTCCATCGCTTATCTCCTAGTCCTGGCTTCGCAGTAAGAATATGTAGTCTTTTCGCAGCATCGACCTGGCAGACCTGGCATCTTCCTTGACTCCGGTCGCTTCGCATTGCATCCATCCCCTTTTCCTTGCACGCACCTCTCCCGCCTCCACGCATTGAGAGCTGGGAGAAAACATGCAGACTGTGTGTGACTTGTGTGTGACGAGCCCATCGGGTCAATCCATCCCTCATGCTACTATGTTTATCCAGTCCGAGGTCCTATTTTTGAATCTTGCCACCGGTCTGGAGAAAGCTACGATGATCTTCACGGCAGCTACGGAGGAGTTACCCATTTCGATAGTGCTTGGGCAAGCTGGACGCTGCAAGGTCGAGGGGGGAAAGAGAATTAAATAAAAAAGAAATATGACGACATCCAATAACTCGCAAGAACTTGATATTCATATACTCTGGCGTCTAGCAGTATGCATGCTCTCAACAATCACAACATCAATTCGTTTAATCCTTCTCGGCTATGGCCTGCAGTCGCTCGTCGATCTCGTCTTCCGTCAGAGCTCGGAACGCGGTGTCTGTGCCCTCCTTGCCGTCTGTCCGGGGACCGCCGACGATACCGATTTCCAGTTCGTGCTTCTTGAAGTCGACGCTGAGCACGTTACTCAGAGCCGTGATTCCCAGCTCAACGACCTCCTCCCAGTTGCCCTCGGCGTAGTCCTTGTTCTTCAACTTCTTCTCCAAGTGGTTGAGCGCCTCCTGCTGCTTGGGTCCGGACGCGGTAGCCTTATATCCGGCATAGTATCCTGCGGGGTCAGACTTGTAGAGCTGGGGGCCCTTCTCCGAATCCACCGAGATCAGGGTCATGGCAACTCCTAGCGGCCGCATGTAAGCCTGTAGACAATCAGTCAGTCAGTACGTCTTCTATTCTCCATCGAAATTGGTGCAAAGAGAGAAATCAGCGCACCCTCTGTGTGTAGACCTGGTTGATGTTGGCCAGTCGCTTGGTAAGAACGTCGCAAGGCATCTCGTAGCCATACTTGTATCGGAACTCGGCCGCTTCTCCGCGAGCACGGTCGACGCTGGCTCTGGCATCGGCTATGGAACCGGTCATGACGCAACCGACCGAGGGAGACAGGCGGAAGACATGCGAAACGGAGGAGGGGTCGATCAGTTTATCCTGTCATTTTTCTTGCATCAGACGTGGTCGGGCCTAGGCGCTAAGGACGAGCGTTGGGGTCTTACAGCGACTTTCTTCTGCGACAGCACCACGGCACAGTCCTTTCCTCTCACACCGAGCGAGGTGATGTTGGCCGAAGTAATGGCCTTGAATGCATATTCTAGATGTCAGAGGACATCACGGGTCAGCCAAGTCGTCATGCCAGACCACGGAGGTCATGCGCGGAAAGGATCGAGCATCGCCAGAGGGGGCATCATTGCCAGAGTGTAGAACATACCGACTTGGTACAAACGTCCGTTGTCCGAAAAGATGGTAATGTGTCTGTCGTAACCTGCGCTTCCTGCTCACGGAGGATTGTCAGTTCATCAATGAAGTCATGGACATCAGGGAAGTCAACGGCCCTACCAGACATGATGGCGGTCAAACGGTGATACCCAGGCGAAAGAAGCGGGACAAGATGTGCGAGATTGAGGTCAAGAGATGAGGTATTAAAAAGGACTCGAAAGAGATAATTGGGGAGATGGAAGACGGCGGGGATTTCCAGAGGACGCGTGCCAGAGGGTGCCTGGGCGAAGCTCTAAGCTTGGATTGAGTAAGCTCCCTGAAGGCCGTCACCGCCTTCTGGACAGCGCATCACATGGCAATATATCGCTTCTTTCCAGTTCAACTGGGAATTACTGAATATTTTACTATTCTACTCCGTACTCCGTACTGTTTGACACTATGAATATTGGTATTCTATGAATACATGCTAAAGTAGTGATGGCTATGACTTCCGGTTGAACAAAAAAACTCCTTCATATGCCTAGCCCAGGTATCAAACTTTTCGCCATGAACTTTTGGGTATATTCTCTGGGAGAACAAAAAAAAAATAAGACAAGAAGATACAGTCCGCCAGTGACAGCGTTCCTGCTGGAGAAAGGGATTGCAGTAGAAATAGTAAGAATTTCAGTTCTTGGGGTAGAACTAGGAAGACGAGGAATCACTCGAGCTCGTGCTGTCGGAGTCGATAGAAGACGAGTCGCTGGAATCTTTGCGCGAGGTCTTCTTGGATTGAGGTTTCTTGGCCGTGTCATCGTCACTGTCACTGTCACTGGAACTGTCGCTGGAACTGCTACTCGAGATTTCAACGAAAGCCGTGCGGTTCTTCTTCTTCTTCTTGCCAAGGTTCTGATTGGCTTTCTTCGCGCCCTTACCCTTCTGTGCAGGTTTGGGTTTCTGGAAGGTGTATATAGCGCCATTGACCGCAAACAGCAAAAGCTCTGCTCGCTGTCTCTTCTCGACTTTCTTCACGGTCTCCCCGTCCAGCTCGTCAGTGCTATGGACGCGGTCCAATTCGTCTTTCTTGTCCTCGGACAGGTGCGCTTTGAAAGCGTCAACTGCCTTGTTGTAGCCGGTCGTGTCCTGCTTAGAACTCTCTTGTGTTTCTTCCGTGCCGTTGGCATCAGCCTCTGTAGATGTCGCCTCGATCTCAGCTTTCACCACCTCCTCGGCGATTTCACGTAGTCGCTGCTTCGCGCCCTCGCTCTTCAGTCCTTGCAGATATGCCAGCAGCGCAGCGTTGTACTGGGTAGGAACGTGTTCCAGCGAGAGAATGTGCTTGAAGAGATGCGTCTCGCGGTTCTTCTGGAACTTCCAAGCCGACCGGTGCTTGTAATAAAGGCTGAGATACGACAGGATCGGAGTCTCATGGATTCTCGGTGACCCATCGCTCCCAGTCGTCGACTTCCCATCCTTGCTCTTCTTCTTATTCTTCTCCTTCTTTTTCTTCTTGCCGCTATCTTCGCCTCCATTCTTCTCACTAGCCGCATTTGTCTTCGAAGAATCCTCGTCATCAGCATCAGCATTAGCATCCGATGCCGCACCGTCGTCGTGGTCTTGGTCGCTATCCTCGCCATCGTGAACCTTTGCGTCCACCGAGAACGAGACTCTCTTCTTGTTCTTTTTCTCCTTCTCCTTCTCCTTCTCCTTCTCCTTCTCCTCTTTCTCACCAGAGTCGCCCTTGCTCTTACTTTTGCTCTTCTTCTTACTCTTCTTCACCTCCTTCTTCTCCTTTCCCTCATCTTCTTCATCATCCTCATGCCGTCTTTTCTTGCTCTCCTTCGCCTCAATCTCGTCCTGGATCGGATCCTTCGCGTATTTCAGCTTCAATCCAAGCTTCTTCCACGCGGGGATGTTCCCCCCGGCGGCAGAGTCTCCTTCTTCGCCGGCCATTGTGTATCTTCCGTTGTATCGTGCCGTAAATGTCGATGCCGGTTCGTGCGGCGCGGAGAGGAAATGATTCGATTCGATCGGACCCAATCGGTCGCGTAGATCGGAGGAAGTAAAGAAAGGCCGGGTTGAGTCAAGGGGGTAGGTAATAGGTATTATTAAGTGGATTTGTTTCAATTGATCCCGCTCAGCGAAAAGAGAGAGAGAGAGGGAGGTTTTCTCTTTTTTTTTTTTTTTTTTGTCCGGAGAAAATTTCCACGTGAGTTGCGGCGGTGACGGCGGAGCGCTTTTTTTTTATTTTTTTAAGAGGGAACTAGTACTCCGGATACTAAACTCCATTCGGGTCCACTTTATTGGGGTGTCTGAAGAAGAGAGAGAGAGTCGACTTGACTACTCCGTACGTTACCTATTCTCTGACTGGTTCCGTGTTACTAGTTACTCTGGAGAACGGATTAGATGCAGTAGAAACGGCATAAGCCATTCCGCCAAAGGGTCGCAATCATAGTGTACAACTAGATAGATGGACACTGCAACTGCAACATGCTACCTATTTGACTGTAAAGTCTGGAATACATCTACACTGCACGTACTCCGTACATACTAGTCTCATTGCAAATAAAGACCTCGTCATTTTCTGAACCTGGTTATGGCGACCCAGTTATAACACATAGGTAGAGTTAGGAGCAATAGCTGTATTCAGCAAGGTAACATCTATTTGTTTCCTTCATCAAGGGAAAAAAAAAAAAAGGAACGGGTGAACGCAGAAAAGAAAAAGAAAAAAAGAACCACCCGCTCCAGGATTCGAACCTGGATCTCCGTAACGATACAGTTAAGGATAGTAAGGCATGCTACCATTACACCAAGCGGGCTAGCTTACATAGTGGGGAACAGGGGTGTTTCCGCTTGTTATTGGTGAGTCTGCCTGAGGTGATTCATCCCACCTTACCATCTCTAGTTTAGTTACTTTCTTAGCAGGTGAAAATAGAAGCCATAGTAAAAGAACATATATAACTATCCCCTCGGCCGGTGCCAAGACAACACTTGTTTATACCGGAAAAAGAGCTTTTCCGTGGAACAATAGTATATCCGGTAAATACAGTAATTATTCAATTTTATAAGTTTGTATCAATATAGATATAAAGTGGTTTCTTAATTAAGAATAAATAGTATAATTTTTTTTGACGTCTCTCATACAAACCTAGTAGTATTTTATAATCCACTTACTAATTAGGAAGTGATAGTTATTAAAGTAGGCGGTAACTTAATTAGCCAATTAAAGCTATGCAGATTTCTTACACGAAAAACACGCTATTTTTGTCCCAAGTGTGGTCTTGGCACCGGACGAGGGGATAATCCGTACAAGTAAGTTGTTTTGCTTCAGATTAAGATGTATACATAATGTAGGGTAGGGTCGTGACCTATTCCCAAGAGCTGTAAGTCTACTGTAGAGGCACGCTATACCTGACTGTCAGCGCAGACTTGGAAGAAGTATAGAGGAAAGCTGTAGGGTATTGGATTGATCGGATTGGTAGAAACTCTCAGATGTGTTTGAATGTACGATACCATGCTACGCTACAAATACTCGTAGAACCATAAATTCATCATTTGCATTATCATGCCATGCTAGCCAGCCATAGTGCCGTGATCTTTACTCCGTAGTATGAATGTATGTGTTTAAGTTGCCCAGCTTTTGCTCCCATCCTTGACTCCATTGAAAAGAATCTCAGCCTGCCCATCACCCTAGAATATACTCTTTTGCAAGCATAGAATAAACAAATCAAGCAGAACATAGGGTGTTAAGGTTAGGTTCCACTTCCACTCGCATTGCCGCTACCATCAACTTCCCGTCTCTCTTTCTCCTTCTCACGCTTCGCCTCTCGTTGCGAGCTGCTTTCTCCATTGGAGGCGGCCGCCTTGCGTCGTGCCCGCTCGCGATCCCGAGAGCTCACTCCTGTGGTGCGCCTCCTGCGAGCCGGTTCGTAAACGTCGTTGAAGTTCATGGCCACACCAAGGAACCGCATGTCCGTCTCGGAATGGTAGGCAATGTCACCGAGGAAAATGTTCAGTCGTGATCGGAACTCGGCAGAGAGCTCACGGAGGCGAGTCCGCAGCGAGGAAAGCATGTGGTCGTCCACGGAAAGATCATGGTTCATGAGAGACGAGGGCGTGTTGGTACCGTCGCCGGCGTTTCCGACGGTCGGCGTCCCAGATACCGAGGACATGGAATTCTTATGTCCCTGCGTCTGTCCCAGAAGATCGCGCTCCGTGACACCCCAGCGGCCTTGCGCCGTGCGAGTCTCGATCCGCGCGCTCAGTTCCTGCCCTCGTGTGAACTCTGCGACCGAGAAGGAGTACAGCCCGTCGACGGCGTCTTTATAAGCAAGCATGATCTTCAAGATCTGGTGGAGCTGCGTCAAAAACGTCTCTTCCTGATGCTTGTTCGCCGCTGACGTGGAGCCGAGGAGACCCTTGCGCGTGATGGAATTGAGGTAGGCGGTATGCGCCTCAATGAGGTCATCTAATGTGCATCCTGGCTTGGAAACTTGGGCTTGCAGATCGTTCCAGCTGGACTCAATGACCTCGAAAAGGATGTACCACTGTAGCTGACAGACGAAGTGGATCATTTCAGCGATAACGCATCTTGCCCGCTTCCAATCCGGCCCAACCTTATCGTCGACGCTGCCCAGGACACCCCGGGCGCCAGTCATGCATCGCCGCCACGTACTGCCTAGAGCAAACTCGACTCGTTTCACCCGCCAAAGAAAGTTGAACATCTTGAGGTACTGTGTGGAGGCCCAGGATGTAATGACGACATCCACCGGAGCATCGATCTTGTATTCGAGCGTGAAACAATCCCAACCAATATCACCGTGACTGAGCTCTAACATGCGAGCATCCAAGCGCCGAAGGACATCTGGCGAATCGTATTGTGCGTTCGATGCACGGATAGCGTGTTCCAGTTGAGCGGTCAAAGTGTGCCTGTACTGCGAAGTGGCAGGCCGGTCGAGGTTTGAGGCCAGCGATTCCATTAGCAAGGCAATGAAATCTCCCTGCCCAAGCAGCAAATACTTCTTCAAGGCCTTCAGGTGATCGAACAACTTGAATTTGTCATTCATGAGGTGAATGAGTTGCGCCATCGTAGTCTTATACGCCTCGTCGATCGACGTCTCAAGACTGGCCGTATCGCCATATCGCAATTCTTTCGAGGCTTGTTTGGAGTAGGCCTCTACCCAGCCAGAATCCCCGCAGCCATACCGTATGAAGTTGAGAGATTTTCCAATAAGAAACACCTTCTTGGCAAAATCTTGTGTAATGATGGAAGGCACCATCTCGTCGTCCAACTTGTATTTATCTTCCCACACACTCGTCGCAATGCGTCGCGGATCCGTGGCGGGTCTAAACTCGGGCTCGACAACGAAAAACTCCTTGAAAGGATCAGAAAGCTCTCCATCGTAGATCCACAAGCGAAGCATATCGTAGAACGGCCTTGTGATATGTGCAAGAAGTTTTTCTGCGAAGGCGCAGACGAAAGGGTCACCATGAGAAGTCGAGAACCCATGGATCAAAGATATGAGTTGGCCACCTTTCTTGTCTAAATCATTGTCAGATTCAATTCTTCCTCCGTGAGTGGTAGAGACAGATAGAGACAGAGGGATTCAAGGATGCTTACTCTGTGCCTCCTCAACAATGAGACTCATCAAACGTAGCGCCATTGTCGCATCTCTTGTCCATACGGCGCACCGCTTCAGCGTAACACCACTTTTAGACGCGCTGTTGGAATTGTTGGGGTCCTCCGAGGCAGCCAATGCCCGCCGAATCTCTCCTTCCAAGGTTGCAATGAGGCCTAGGTAAGACCGAAGCTCATTCGAGAGAGCTGCACGTAGACTCTGGTTAAGAAGACCACCACTGTCATCTTCGACAAAAGCAGACAGCTTCCGATACAGTAGACATGGCTCGGCGATGGTATTTAGGAGTGAGATCATCGGGATAGGAAGCGACGGTGGCAATTTGATGACAGAAGCGGAGGTGAACTCGAGACTCGAAGAAGACAGGCCTTGCAGATTGAACGGAAGATCGCGCAGCAAGCCATGTTCAGCAGGTCGAGTCAAATTCTTCTGCGCGTCTGCAGTTGACGGGCGCTGAGCGGCTCCCTGCTCCTCCGCAGTAAAGGAACCTCGGGGGGTGTCATCCGCCTGGTCACGGGGAACCATTTGCTCTGGGAATCTCTCGGGCTCCAGGTCCGCGTCGTTCTCAAGTCGTTCAAGCCGTTCAGCTCGTTCCGGTCGTCGCAAGGATGCCTTCCGTGCCGGCAATTGCGACGCAGACGAGCTGATGGCCGGGCCTTCCTCGTCCCAATTATCAGCCATGCGAGGCCCGGTCCCTCGCCTCGGCCGCTGACCTTTCCAGAGCATATTTTGCAAATTATCAGGCTCCATCTGGGGACTCCGGCTCCTTTCCCCATCATCCACAAATTTCTCATTGTCATCCCGATTCGACAGCCGATACAGTAGGTAGAGGATGGCCCATTTCTGCGACAGCACCGGCTGGGTCAACAGACGCGAGTACATATTCGAGAACCGCACCGCCTTATCGGGGCTGGCGTTTTCCCGCAATAGCTTCCGCTTGATGAGATCCGGCGCATTGTTGATGTTCTCTCCGCCGGCCAAGCTTCCTCTGCGGTTTATTCCCAAGCCCGCCGCACCGGAGGGCGACGCCGAATCATTGGACGAGTTTGCGTAGGCATCGATAATGCGCCATGAGCGCTCGTGGCTCTCGCGATTCCGCTGGGTTTCGAGCGCGGCGAAGGTCTCGGTATCGTCGCCGTCGTGGCCAATGGCCGACAGCGGCAGCGGAGGGGAGAGTAATTCGACCAGCTGGTAAAGGGCCTCATCGACGCGACGTGGACGTGAGGGGTGTCGGGCAGACATCGTCGTTTCTTGGCTGCCCCGATTCGGGCTTCACTAAGCTCAAGTGAATAGCTTGTAAATTCCCTCGAGGTCGTTGGTTAGGTTAGGTAAAGCAAAAAGGTCGGAATGTGGAGCTTGTGTTGTAGGATTGTTAGGAGGGTGGTGTCTCATTAAAGAGGATCTGGGATTCACAAAGAACAAATGGAACAGCGCATGGCGCCCTGCGGCCTTTGCAACCCGGAAATATAAGTGATCGCATAGACTCACGAGTCCGTCCCTCGACCGCGCGTGGATGTTTTCTGTTTGCCTGGTTTGGGCTGTTTGAAGCCACCCGCGTCGTGCCAAGACTTTCCACCGTCAACGTCACTGGAATCTGCCGGAAGGAACTCTGGAACTACTCGAGTACGAGGCAGTCTCATGTCTATCTCAACCCACACTATGCACATTATTGATCTCATTCGTACGCATTGAATACATTGGAATTGCTACGGTTGGGAAAGTAGAAAATTGAAAACGTAATTCGATGGAAAGCCCCTGCATGCTCCATTCCTAGACGCCTAGAGACATGTTGACTTGTGCGAAGTATAAAAAAGACTGTTGTAAAAAGCAAAAAGCCACCATTACGCCACCCCGATTGAAAGGACCGCAGAAAAAAAAAAGATACAGGGGAAACGGGAAAGGAGGAAAAGCAAACTGTTCCGCGAATATCAAACAAACGAAGTGAAGTTGTCGCAGCCAATAGAACCTACCAAATTATAGAGAGAGAAAAGACGGTCACACAGGAAGGGAGAAAAGGACAAGTGTATAGTCCTCCAGAAATCCGAGCCTCTTGAAGGGGGGCCGGACATAAAAGACCTCCAGACCGGCACAAGACTCGAACGAAAAGAAGATGAAAGATAAAAGACAAGGGAGAAAAGAAAAGCAGCCGATAAGCTTTTGCGCCGAATGTGCACCTTCCGGTGATATCTCATGTCACACCATCAGATCCAGCCCGTGCGTTTTTGAAAATCGTATACATCATTAACACCAACCCATGCCAGGGCGCCCTATGAGAAAAGCCGAAGCTGAAGACGATCATAACGTGGTGACAGGTATCCAGTCAGTAAAGCTCAAGCCCAGGGCAGTGGCAGCTCCGTGCTGCGAGACAATGACCGACCAAGGCTGTAGCTTATACTGACTAAAAAGGACCAAGATCATGGCAATATTAGGATCGCGGTCTATTGGAAGTGTGTGCATTATCGTCGAACTCCTTGTGGCATGGGTGCGCCTGGTTGCATGCCCATGTTGTTGGGGATGTTGTATGGGTTGGGCTCGAATCCAGTTGACATTCCATTCATCATCAACGGACCGAGTCCCTGCGCTTGAGAGACTGGGCAATCCTTGTGAGCGAGGAGCAGGGTTTTCAGGTTGACGATTTCTTCGCGAAGCTGAGTCACCGTAGCAGTGAGAGCATCATTTTCGGAGGTGAACAGTTCAACCTTGGCCTGAAGATTGGCTAGCCACTGCTTCTTGCGCTGGCGACATTTGAGCGCAGCGACCCTGTTATTGCTCATGTGAGCACGAGTTACACCAGTATCTAGGACAAGATCCAGCACTTACCGGTTCCGCTCCAGGAAGTTCTTTCTCTTCTCTTCGTCAGTCATCTTCTTTGAATCACCTCCTCTCCGTTTTTCATCATCCTCATCGTCCGAGTCTGCGATATCAGAAGGAGGCTCAGGGCTACCAGAGCCCTGGCTAATCTTAGACTTCTTATTCGGTCCTTTAACAGGGGTATCCTCAGCTTTGCGCCGGTTGTTGACGGGACCGCCCGTTTTCGTGGCAGCGTTCTTCTTAGATTTCCCTTTCAAGGCGGGCTTGCTTTGTTCTGCTTGTAGATCCGAAGCGTCTCCGCTAGGCTCCCTGCCGGCGTTCGGGGCGCCGTTGGCAGCGTGAGATCCTCGCTTGTCAGCGCCGGGATCGCGGGCCTGTTCTTGACCTTGGTTGTTGTGCGAAGCGATTGATGACTGGTTTGGCACGGAAAACTGGTTCGGGTTTGCCTGTCCGCCTTTGGCCAACATAAAAAGGCCATTGGCCGCGTCTGTGGCGTCAGGGTGGTTTATATCCATAGCTGCGGTTTGCGCGCTTTGTTCTGGCTCAGTAGTAGGGTTGGATGTAGGACCATTCGCCCCGTTTTTCTTAGCAGCGAGTGCGGTGCGATGGAATTCGATGGTCGACGGAGTTGCGCCGCCACTTTGAAGCTGCTGCAGAAGCGCCTGAGAATTCGGGCTGGGCGCCGGGAACATAGACCCGCCACCACCAGGCGTTAGTCCCGTACGAAGCGAAGATTCGTTGGGAGTAGGGAAGCCTCTGCCAATACTATCGAAGTAATCATTAGAGCCGGTTGGCCCAGCTAGCATGGCAGGACTCAAGGGCCCCGAGCGCAACGAGTTAGACCAGTTGTAGCCCCCGGCGGCGGAGTTGCTGCCAGGCAGGGCAGGAGACGTGAGCGCGGCGACAGGAGGAAGGATCGACTTCCCGGGGGTCTCGCCAGTACCACCGTTACTACCGTTGCCGCCAAAGGACTGCTCGAAGGGGTTTGGTTCCAACGAGAACGGGTTGTGGATGGAGTTGAAGTAGTCAGGAGTGTCAGTAGCGGACGTTATGGCAGGTCGAGGAGGCGGCGCCAATGAGGTTTGCGTTTCATCGGCCTTTTGCTCCTTGGAGTCAGAAGGGGGCTTGATGTCTGCAAGACGGCACACAAGTCTGAGTCAGCGAACCAAGTATTAAGGTAAAGGTCGGGACGATGAGGTTCAAAGCGCGACAGCGAGATAGACTGTGCGGATGTATGTGACGATGACAGCGTTGCGATGGTGTTCCGACCGCGCGGTCAGGGATCAGACAGCAGAGCCCCATCGATGACGCCAATTGTGAGGTCATCCCGACGGCAGAACAGACAACATAAACATCTGGGAAGCAGTGGCGCGTGCGACCAACCCAGAAACAACATCAACACTATAAAAATGACAAGAGCACACCGAAGGATAATCATGACGAACGCACACAGGAAAAAATATAAAAAAGGTTCAAAGTATAAAAAAAGTATCGAAATACTGCGAAGAAAACACCAGCACAAGGGGATTCTACTAACCTTCGGCCTCCAACGCGTTCTTTTTCGAGTCCATTGGGGATGATTTACGAGTATGATTTGTTAAGTTGCTTGGAACTGAGGAAGCAACAGCGGCCGACATAATAATTGAGCCGGACGAGGGCGGTGGTATTAGAGGAAGGACGAAGTCGCAGGTGACCTGGAGCGAGGAGCGCGGTAGAAAAGAGGGCGAGGTAGCGAGAGAAAGGGAAAAAAAAAATTTGGAAAAAATAGCAGCGAGCGAGAGGAAATGTGGCAAAGACGAACAAATCAAACAGATGCTGGCGAACAAAATTAAGGGATACAGAAACAATATAGAAATGAAGCCAGAAGCATCGATCTTGGGGGCGAGACTTCACGAAATCGACTCGTAGCTCTCACACTCTGCACGGTATCAGAGAGAGTAACTGTGAAGGGAAGGGAGATGAGAAGTTGTGACGTAGTCGGGTTTAACAAGGAGATTTTAGGGGGGGGGGAAGAGGGGAGGCGGTCGAGTGTCGTGAGCTAAGCGTTTCCGACGGGCGAAGAACTCGACTCCTGTCACGCCAAAACTATGCAACCCTGGGTGAGTACAAATTCCCACGGCTCCCAGAGTGCAACCTCGACGGTGGAAAGGGAAAAAATCCTGATACTTTCCCACTCCTTGGATTCTGTTTCTGTTTCTTTCCTTTTTGGTTCTTATTTTCCCCCCTTTTTTTTTTACTATGGTGTGTTCTTTTTTTCTTTTTCTCTTCTTCTTATTCTTTTCTGGAATGCACCGTCTGGTAGTGTCTCGACGTTTTTCTCGACCTTCAAAACGGCCCTTATTTAATTTTTGGACAATTGTTTTTGATTTCTGTGTGTGCCGTCCTGATTTCTAATCGACCCCAGGAACTTAGGATGAGAGCGAAAGGGAAACAGGACCAATTGTACGAAGTAGGAGGAAATAAAATGGTAACAAAGGGGGATAAAAATCAAGGATGGAACGAATTATGCAGGCAGAGACAGGTCCTTACTTGCAAAAGTAGCCAGAAACTTTGGGGACGGTGGGTTCCTGGTATTACTTTTGGGCCAATGCCAATGACGCATGCGATCGTTAGATTGGAAGATGGAGGGTGGATCTGCGGCCAACCACTCGCCAAAATGAAAAAAAAAAAAAAAAAAAAAAAAAAAAAAATTGGAAAAATAACCTGATGGTCGAACAATAAGGCCATGGTATCTATGACTAATGCACTTTCCCCTACGCAGCAAAAATAAACTAACAAAAAGAGACAGACTGTGTACTCAGTAGAAGATATTAAATTCAATCCAGGATGTCCCTCATTATTGTCATCAGGAAAAGAAGAAGAAGAAAAACGATGGCTTCTACCCCATCTGGACTGTGCGACGGAAGAAAACGCGACCCCCCGTGGAAGGGCCGATGGATGAGATCACGGTGACGACGACAGGAACTTTTCCCTGGGCTGTCGGACCAGCCGGGTGGCCACTCGCAACAGGTTGCCGGCTCCACTGCAACCAGCCACTCACGGGCATCCTTCCGGCCCCCCGCCTGGATCTGCCGTCGAAGGCTAGAAGCAGTCGACACGAATCAGGGCGGTCAAGATGTCTGGTAGTACACGATACACGGTACATAGTACGGAGTAGTTCCTGGTTACTTGGTAAGTAGGAGAATATCCCCAATTCGGTGACTGCGAGCAAGTCCCGTTGCAGTTCATTGGTTTTATCTATCATATGGTCCATGATCATCCAGCAGGTTTTTAAGGGGGTGACTGGTTCCATCTCTCAGGGGGGTTGGTTGGTTCTCGGACAATTGACTGATACATTTCGACCCGATGCTGATTGGATCCGGCGGTGATGACGCAATGCTGCCGGGACGTTCGTCCCGTGGTCCGGCATCACGTGATGGCATCGGGCGAACTCTCGTTGGCAGCGAAGGACAGGGATGTTGGCCCTTTGGGGATTGCCACCGGAGATCGGCCACAATCTGGACGCTGAACCCTCCCGAACAGGCAGTAGCGTGATGCTCTTCCTAATCACCCGAGGACATGTGGCTAGACTCAGGAGTAGTCTTAGTCCTACTCCGCACTTCTGATAACCGCGGTGTACTCCCTATCGGTGTACGGAGTAGTTTGAGATAGATGCTGGCTGTCTCTTACTCCGTGCGATATACTCCGTGCTCAGCACGGTGTAGGGCCCGACAGCCTACTCCGGTCATGCTTCAATTCAGCCCTCCCGCGTCGTTTAATTCTACCTCATATATCTACTATACCTTTTCTATCAACTCTGTACATACACTGTAATCTCTGCTTCCTCCTTACCTTCTGCTGTCGAACAGGTGTCGGGCCATTGCCTTGATCAAATAGCTTACAGGATAACATTATTCAATCTAGACCAATCTTGAAGGGACGCCTAATCTCTAATTCTGCGCCAGACCATCCTGCCAAGAGCAACCAGGAGCATCAATGCTAATCCTAACATGGCAATTTCTCTCCATAGTCTGCATACACCGTACTCCACACACACTGTGGACATGTCCCCAAAGGTCTTGCACGAAGTTGTCGTACTGTCATCCCTTTCATTCGTAGAGGCAAATACATATCCCGGCAATATATCCCGGATATAGATAGAAGTGTGCATACGGAGTAGGCTTACGTGAGGACGGTACGACTGACCATGATCCCACCCCAGATCCAACGAGTGGCCTATCTCCAAGACATCGGATCACTAGCTGGACTTTCTTGGCCACAATTATCTAGTATCATCAAATTTGTTGCGGGTAACTTCACGGAGTATAATAGTTTTATTATCTATGCCCTATGGGGTATATTTAGCTTCGCTTTTGAACCCCACTGTGAATGACCCTTCAAACACTGTATGCACCAGACGTTATGTCAATTTGTTATAACAACCAAATAGTCCTAAATGTACGTCTCTTGAGACCCTTCATGAGAATTCCTAGGATCTTCGCTGTATGAGGATATAGATTCGAGCCGAGACAGATCAAATCTCCCACTTGCTTCAGGCACCACAGAAGCTATAAATAGCTGGCTGGCTGGAATAATCTCAAGTCAAACTTTAAATAATCCCCTAAAAGACCCTTAATGTAGAATGATACCACCGTGCATAATGCAGTCCATCCAAAACTATATATATTCCTGTCATCCCTGCCCTGACATCGCCGTTTATTTTAGCTTAATCGCCCAAACAATCCTTCGGTCGCAGACTACTACCAGTGCTAAAAAGCAACAACATACATTGAAACCACACCAGCCCAAAAGGGAGCCCGCACCAGAGTCATGTGGCGCGCACCATGCAAGGCTGACCCTGTGTCACTGTTACCTCACCGTTAGCTTACGTTGATGCCTAAATAGACTGCCTATTAAATACTTTCCAGGGTGAATAATGAGCCTCATCTTTTACACACATCATCATAACCGGCTGGGAACAGCGGTAGAGGTCGCATAATGGCATCCAGCATGGACTCTTCCTTTGGGAAGTTCTTCTACCTTTCCTCATTTGCCGTGGGATCGTTCATCGCGAAGGCCCTCTTCGATCAATACGGCACTCTTCCGCTGCACCTCTTCTACTCCAGCATTGAAGTTCATTCCTACGACGAGGCATACAACTACCTCATGTACTGGCTGACGAAGCAGCGATTCAACGAAAAGAAGCGCCACCTGATTGCCAGCACATCCCTCACGAGCGGTCAGCCAGATTGGTACAACGAAAAAGCCAACGAGGAAGGGGGCGTGGACGACTTTGATCCGGACGATACCATCGACGACGCCAAATGGAGGGCGTCATTTGCCAATACTCGTCCGCTGTTATGGATGCCGTCGACCGGCACGCATTGGTTCAAATTCATGGGTCGGCATCTGGCGCTGACTCGCGAAGTGGAGGAACACAACGCCATGATGTACACGCGCACCGAGAAATTGCGGATCTCGTGTCTGGGATGGGACGCCTCGGCCTTGAAGCAGTTGATGCTGGAGGCCCGGGTGGAGTTCTCGCAAAAGGAAAAAGGCAAGACCGTCATCTACCGCGGTTCGAAGAGAGCGTACGATAATGAATTCACCTGGATACGATCGATCTCCCGTCCCGCGAGACCGCTGTCCACGGTCTTGCTGGAGGGGGGGGAAAAGCATGCCTTTCTGCAGGATGTGCAGCAGTATTTGCACCCGGCGACGATGAGATGGTACAGCGATCGCGGCATTCCGTATCGGCGAGGTTACTTGTTCTATGGCCCGCCGGGCACCGGTAAATCGAGTCTCGCGTTTGCGGCGGCTGGCTTTCTCGGATTGAATGTGTACATCCTGAACTTGAACTCGCAGCAGCTCACCGAAGACGCGCTCGCCCAGCTGTTCCAGGACCTGCCGCGACGATGCCTCGTGCTTCTTGAAGACATCGACTCTAACGAAGTCACGAATCGTCGCACCGCGGAGACTTCAAAGAAGCGAAAGGGGAAGAGCAGTATATCGCTATCGGCCTTGCTGAACATCATCGACGGCGTGGCCGCCCAAGAAGGCCGCGCGCTGATCATGACCACGAACCACCACGAACATCTCGATCCGGCCCTTGTCCGACCCGGTCGCGTCGACTATCAGCTCGAGTTCAAGCTTGCCAGTCGTCATCTCGCAAGGGAGATGTTCCAAAATATCTTTAATGAGCCACAAACAAACATCGACATGGACTACGAGGACAGTCGGATTGAGATTGTCGCGGCTACCGAGTCAAAGGAATTTATTGTCTGGGACTCTTCAAGTTCTTCAGCTACAGACATCGAGGACCTTGCCATAGCTTTCAGCGAGAAGATACCAGAACACACGTTCTCTCCGGCTGAGATCCAGGGCTTTCTGCTTCGGCATAAGAGCTCTCCGGAGGACGCTGTTGCGAATGTTGAGGCATGGGTACGTAAGACGCTAGACGAGAAGGAGCAGCAGGGTCTTGAAGACGTGCATGAGTCAGAGGAAGTAGATACCAAGACAGACGAAGATCAAGCGGAACCGCATAGCGACGAGAACGAATCGGATCAAGAATCATCTGAAGATGAAGAAACTGATCAGATCAAGAAGATAATCCAATGAACAAGGCGCTAGTCTCCATCTCTTTATACTTAATTCAAAATACCAGTCAGTAAACTCATCATACATTTCGATTCTTTCAGTCTTAATGTAAACCTCACATCAGTTCGTATTCTATATAATGCCTAGACTGTAGCAATAGCGAAGTTCATGCGACATCCAAAAGTTAGAAAAGGAAGACTCGCAAAGTCACCGCAATGAGCCTCCCTCCAATCCTCCTGGTTAACAGCCATCACGATCCCCGATAAGTCGAATAGTTCCACGGTCCCAAGAGCACCGGAACATGATAATGCCGCCAGCCCTCCTCCCCTTCGCGACCCCTGCCTTTCACGGTGAATTTCACCTCCACCTCAGGCCAGAAGCTCTCGACCCCCTGTGCCTCATACCACGGGCCGACGTCGAACCGAACGGACCAATTCGTCTTGCTGTCCGCGGCCGGCAGGGCGGACAGAATGGCGGGAACGGTCGTCGAGGTCGCCGCTTCAGGCGTCCAGTTCTTCACCCGTCCATCTGCGTCGGTGGTGGCGCGGAAACTGGCCGGGCTGGCCTGGCCGGTCGACGCACCGGGTAGTTGAGTCAACGTCACCGGGAGATTTGCCGCGGGCGTGCCCGTCAGCGTGTTCAGGACATGGCAGGTGATCGGATCGCGAGACATTGGAGACAAGGAAGTCGTGGTGGTGGAGGACACGCTCGTTGGTGTAGATGATGACGAGGAGCTAGATGATGAAAGAAGCTGGTTCTGGTAGAGGCCTAGTCGGTCTGTGATTCTTCCCAATTGCTCGCTCGACGGGCTTCTTGACCCAAAGTCCATCAAGGAGTAAGTAGAACGGAGAAGGGTAAGGGACAGTGGGAGAGGGTTCAAGAAAGAAATTCAAGAAATGGAAGAAGATTGAATTAGCTGTGGGAAAAATTGACCTCTGGAATGTAGGTCCGTGGGCCCTTTTTCTATCTCCGCTCCTGATGCATCGGAGGACCCCGATGAGCTGCTCAATCACTCCGGAGTATACCTGCGGTGGGGCAGCAGTTCTGATAACCGGTGTCTGTGTCCCTTACGTTGCTGGATCCGGGACTGTAGGTGTTGTGGAAATGTGTCAGAGTTTAGATGAAGGTATTCGGACCCTCATAGGATCATCTTCTCGACCTTGCAATCGGAATGATGAAGGATGAGATCGCCAGCGATGATAGAGGGATGACATCGCGTGGTCGCCTCAGGCAGTCAGCCCCGCACGTGCCTCTAGGGAACGGCGGCCTTCCCACACAAGCGTCGGGGGGATCTGGCTTCAGCCCGATTGTCGCATCGCGTTTGACCGACGACATACTCTGAAACCTTCTGTCATTTGTACAAGGCGGTGGTGAATCTACCAAATCTATTTGCTGGTGACTTCCAAGCGACAAACGGTCGATCTTCCGGAAGCTTCTAAAACTTTGGGACTTGCGGGGAATAAATACGTGGTAAATCTATCACCCTCTGAGACTAACTCCGGGGAATCTCTTTCTTTCATTGAAGCTCAGAGAAAGCTGACTTTTCCCGCAACGCAACAGTTGATCCGACCTTTGAAAATGTCCTCTACCGCCGTCGTGCAGAGCGACGATCTCATGGAGCCGTCGCTCCAGACGATTGTCAACCAAGACACCCTCCGCTGGATTTTTGTTGGTGGTAAGGGAGGTGTGGGCAAGACGACAACGTCGTGCTCTCTCGCTATTCAACTCGCCAAGGCCCGCAAGTCGGTTTTGCTTATCTCGACCGATCCCGCGCACAACCTGAGCGATGCGTTCGGCCAGAAGTTTGGAAAGGAAGCCCGGCTGGTGGATGGATACACGAACCTCAGTGCTATGGAGATCGACCCGAATGGCAGCATCCAGGATCTGCTGGCCAGCGGTGAAGGGCAAGGCGACGACCCTCTGGCTGGATTGGGTGTTGGAAACATGATGCAGGATCTAGCGTTCAGTGTACGGTGTCCCCTGACCGGTGACAAGGAAGCCGGCCATTCCTGCGGTCACCAATTACGACCAACTTGGCTAACAGGCGTTAGATCCCCGGTGTCGACGAGGCCATGTCTTTCGCTGAGGTCTTGAAACAAGTCAAGTCCTTGTCTTACGAGGTTATTGTCTTCGATACTGCCCCGACTGGTCACACGCTTCGCTTCCTCCAATTCCCCACAGTGCTCGAGAAAGCTCTTGCGAAGCTCTCTCAACTGTCCACTCAGTTTGGACCGATGTTGAACTCTATCCTTGGATCTCGGGGTGGCCTCCCGGGTGGTCAGAACATTGACGAGATTTTGCAGAAGATGGAATCTCTGCGGGAGACAATCAGCGAAGTCAACACGCAGTTTAAGAACCCCGACCTCACTACCTTCGTGTGTGTTTGCATTGCCGAGTTCCTGTCCCTCTACGAGACCGAGCGTATGATCCAGGAATTGACGAGCTACAACATCGATACACACTCTATTGTGGTCAACCAGCTCCTGTTCCCCAAGCAAGGAAGTGAATGTGACCAGTGCAATGCCCGAAGGAAGATGCAGAAGAAATACCTCGAGCAGATCGAGGAGCTTTACGAAGATTTCAACGTCGTCAGGATGCCTTTGCTTGTCGAGGAAGTCCGAGGAAAGGAGAAATTGGAAAAGTCAGCCATCCATCCATAATTGCCGAGATGATTTTGATTGCTAACCTCTTCCACAGATTCAGCGACATGCTTGTACATCCGTATGTTCCTCCCCAGTAAGGCGGTGGTGGCTCTGTGAAATAATAGTATCGTTAAGGGGTGTTCGGTGAATGCTATTGGGATGAATTATGAAAAAGAAATAGACAATAATACACGGAGCATTTTTTTTGATCCTCCATTTGGTTATGTCGATCCTTGGGAGCTTTAATCTTGTTTATTTTTTTGGCTATTCTTTCTTTTCCGGCCTCAGGTTTCAGGCTGCTAGATTGCCTTAGCCTTTTCTTCCGTCTTTCGCCCTGCTTCTTCGTCCTTTCCACGTCTCATGCACTCCTTGTTATCTTCGACTTTGCCCCCGCGCCTCACTCTCGCCTCCTCGAGGCTTTTGACATTCGTATGAACGAAGCTAGTCAGCTGAAACTTTATCCATCAGGGCTGCTTTCCGACTCCAGTGGGTCCCGCCTAAGGAAACAATCCGTCTCGCACTCTATCTGAATATTTCTTCCCGTCGATCAGATCAATATGTTGCGAATTTGACCTCTCACATGCAGCAGGTTCTCCATACGCGGCGATCCTGCTCCAATGCAACGAAAAATGCCTGACAGTGGTATCTTTTTGGTAGTCCTCTGTTTGCTTCCTGACTCGGACACGCTGGGTCACTAGGCATACCTGCGGTCCAACAGCCACCATGGCCGATCAACCAAGCTTCGAGGTCGATTAACCTGCTTTATTGCGAGTCAGGAGAAGTTTGCTTCTCTCGGGCTCCGCTTAGGGGTTCTTTCGTCTTCTACTATGGAGTACAGTTACGCTCGAAAGGCGTGGCGTATCCTCCCAAATAGGGGAGTGGGATCACTTGCAATTGAACCAAGATGGTAACTATCCTCCAGACTCATCTAAGTGCTTCGACATAATTCCCACGAGCGCTCAAGGTCACCGAACAGTCGCCTCACATTCGAGCCCCTAGAAGGGGAAAGCGCCGACAATCGGTCATTCTATTACATTCCACGCAGACATGCAGATCTACTATAACGGCTGAATCAGTCTAGACCGTCCCACGCCAGCGAATTTCCCGCTACATCACGGACGTGCCATCGTCCTTCCCAAATCCCATCGACACCTCGCTCTTTAGATGGACATTATGCAGCGCCGGTAGCAAGGCTTGCTCGAGCCTGCGGAGGGGACATCACAAAGTCGAGCATGGTGGATGCAAAGTTATTTTTCGCAAACGCACCTATGGTCAGCCTTGGTTACGGGACTCGAGGCAGATATCGTAAGTTCTTGCAGCCAGCGGTCCATTCTGAAGCAAAAAAAGCTTTTCTGGTCTGGTTTGAGAGTAAGCGTCACCGTCCATTGGCTGCGCAATTTAAAACAAGACCAAAGGGACTTGCACCCCCGCGGCAGGACACAAAGTACAGGTGTCTGGATTCCAAAGACAACTGTGTCGTAGCTAACGCATCTATGGAAAAATCTGGTAGTCCTTATACCGTGCGTGTCTATCTAAGAATAGACATGCAAATTCGCGAGTCGTTGTGGGTGTCCGGAGCGATTTATTTACCCCCCCGAGAGGCAATGACAGTCGGTAAAAAATTACATGAATGGAAAAGACAAGAGGAAATAGGAAAAGGAAAAAGGAAAAGGAAAAAGGAAAAGAAAGTCGTTGCGACGCTGACAGGATTCCGACCGAATATACTTAGCGTTCGTCAGACACTCACACAATCAATACTGGAGGGGCCAAAAAAAGAAAAGAGAACAGAAAGAGAAACCCCTGTGTGTCTTCGCTATCGCTCCGGCTCCATGCAGACGTATGTCCGGGGATCTTTTAGGATCTCGAGATGCATGAAATCTGGACTCAAGGAAAACACATTTAATCTAGGAGATTGAGGACATGCAGGTGATTACGAAGAGAGGTTCCTTCGACGTTCAGCCCATGGAGCCACGCCATCATCAGGCCAATCCTCGCGGGCTGCATGTTCACCGCAGCATCAGCCAAGACTGGGAAGAGGACAGGAGGACAGGAACGATAATTCCGGGCGCATCAGAGTCGGACGTATTGGCATTTCCTTTCGGCAGCGTCGATTTGTGGACGCTACTAGTCTCTGTCGAGGTCAAGCCTCACTTTTCCCCGTGCGAAAGGGTTGGATGAAAGAGTGAGGCGGTTTCGCCGGGATCCGACATAAACAGCAGCCAAAATGGTCTTCCAGCCGGTTCCTTCTCCTCCTTAACGGGGTCTTCCATGGCATATTTGGTTCTCTGAGGTGTGGTCGAGTCAGGAAACTTTCTTCCTGGCTTGTTCTATGGGGGTTTACTCATCCTGAAGCGTCGGCCGTCTCCAGCTAATTAGTGGACCAGCATATAGGCTTCCAGATCTTCATAACGGCACATCCACATACAGTGACAACCTTATTGTCGTTATTTCAGGTTCGTTAGTGGTCTCCTTGCGTGAACAGTACCAGGATGGATATTTATACTTCTTAGTCTCTCGTAGATGCTCGTTTACAGCTAGGGCTATCATCGTTGTGGCACCCTTCTTCCTATCACGTCTCAATACATCTATATAGATAATACACCTGTTAGGCCAATCAATCAACCCAAGCCTTATCGCGTCAATGAAGATGTCCCAAGTTCAGCAATACTGGCTGCCAGGATACGGTCTCTCTCGACACATTGTGCTTGGACACATACAGTATTTTCTAGGCCCATCTGCCTCGGTCAGACCCTATACTTACCAGGTACATACAATCCACCAAGTCGGCTCCACGTAGGGCATGGAGAAGGAAAAAGTCCCTAACAATCGATTTTCCCTATTTGAAGGGACGTGAAGGTTACCTCATCGTGGGCGTACCTCTTACTCGGGTCTCTGCCCCTTTCCCATCATCCCATGGCAATAGCCAGATAGATATCTGATCTATGGACATCATTGTGGACCAACATCGCTGACCCATCATGGTATAGGAACAAATCGATGACCTCGCAGTGATGTCCCGAGAATACGAACGACAGGAATCTCTTCGCATGGCCGGTGATTCTATCGTCGATCGCTCCAGCAGGCAATCAGAGCCATACATCAATGAGATCGTGCCGGTTCGAAACCCAGGTCGACGATGTGCTGTTGAAAACGAATCTCGACGAGGGCGATGATATACCTACCATTTCTCCTCTCTCTATTTCTCATTTTTTCCCTTCTCCCTTTCGTCTGCTTCTATCCTTCTCTTTTCTCCCTTTCTCCTTTTCTTTGCTCTTCTCTCCAAACCAACGATATCCCCATGTTCACGTTGAGCGTTCTCGTATATGTGATTCCTCCTCCAAGGGAGCTGCTAGGAGAAATAAGTTGGCTCTCATTTTTTCCCCGTTCATATTCCCTTTGTCAATGTCAGTGAATATATCCCAATAAGCTAAGCTAGCTACATTATTCCTTTTTCTTTGCTTTACTTCTTTCTCATTTGTCATTCCCTCCCCCCATACCTTTACTCAGAGTGTCCTGTTTCAACAGCAGATTCGATACTATAGTACTACATACAATTCCCGATTCCGAAAGAGGAATGGAATCTTAAAGTTTGAAAAAGTAGAATCTGATTCATTCGGTTCCGGTTTTGATTTGATTGATTTAGTTTGTTTTGATCACACCTCGGTTCTGCTGGTTCATGGTCTATATGTCTCTGTCTTCACAACCCATCGTTATCAGCGCTGTTTTTTAGACGCAAAGAAAGAGAGCAAGTAAATTATGTCCGATTCATCATCATCATTATGTATACTGCATAGACTGGACCGGCACATAGCGAGGTACTTGATTGTCGATATAAACCACCATCGAAGTACGAGGAAAAGAAATACAACAATTAAACAAAGACGGAAGGAAAAGGAAGAAAAATTAGACCAGAACTGTATTTTTCAAATACTCTAATATGTAGAAACAATCTTATAGACTATCTCGACCAAAGGATCAAGAACATAACAATAAAGCCAGAAGATAAAAAGCAAAGAGAAAGCCTCAGGTTTCAGATAAATTTCCACTCGTCTCTATAGATCATTCGTAACAGCATAGACTAATCAACAATCAATCAATCAATCAATCAATCAACCACGTGGGAAAAAGAAAGAAAGCTTTTATATCATAGGCAGAGAACCATCGAAGGCGGAGAAAGGAGAACAGCCAAAGAAACAATCATTGGATCCAATATGATCGCTCGCCTTTCTCTTCCCTCTTCGGAGAAATTCTTTCCATTATCTTTCCCTCCTTTTCCTTTTTTTTCTTTCCCAAAAACATACGTATTTTCATCATCTCACAAGGTTTGGTTTAGAAGACGTCGACCAAACCGTGTGTGGCATCAAGACAGATAAAATTGAGAGAAACAGAAAAGGGGGTAGGTAAAAGGAGAAAATGGAAGGGGGAAAATAAAATAAAATATGAAAAAAAAAAGAAATAGGATAAGTCGAATAAAGCATAAATAAATTGTGGAACCACCTAAAAACGCCAGCCTGATGCCACTCTGCTTGGTCCCATCACTTTCTCATCAAGCAAAGCCCGCAATTGCAAATCCACGGGGAATACTAATAGGAACAGAACCGACAGGAGAACGGAAAAAGACGCATCTTTTGAATTCGGAAACCCAATGGGATATGGAATCTTGTTTGTATTTTCATGATTTTTTTATTTGGCAACGGCGGCACTGCAGAAGAAAACCGAATTAGTTAAACTCAACCGGAAAATCATTCGTATTGACTGGATTTGAACGAACCTGAGAACCTGCGTCCGGAAGAAGGCACCCTTCGTCTTCTCAATGACCTGCTGGTACACTGACTGAGGAGGGTGGTTCATAATCACTGTGCCCTGCTTGTAGTCGATCTTAGCATCCACGCGGGTGTCGCGGATCAGGTTGACGATCCACTTCTCGCCCTCGTCCTGGTTCAGACCCAACCGGGTAGAAAGGTCCCTGAAAGAACAAAACATTAGCTTGGCTCATACAATCAAACAGTATCCGCATAGTTCAAGGAACATACTTGATGTCGATCCGTTGGTGGATCTTGCAGTAGCTCTCAGAGATCAGGTGGCGGGCAGCCTCCACAAAGGCATCGGCGGCGGACACCAGGAAGAAATCGCTGCGCAGCACATCCTCGGCCTCACCCAGCTTCTTCTGAGCCTCCTCGAAGTCGAAGTCGACGTACAGCGCCTTGACGAAGTCGGTGATGGGGTCGGTGTATTCGTAGCCCTCCTGGCGGACAATCCGGATGAGATCCTTCAGCTGCTTCTGGTACATGTTGCTGTTCTTGTGGACACGGGTACGGTTGGTGATGACGCCGGCGGCCAGGTATCGCAGAATCCAAGGGCAGCTGGTCTGGATGGTGTTGATGTAGGCGGGAGAGAAGAAAAGGTCGGTCAGGACATCGCGGGCGGGATCATGGTTGAAGTAGGGGAAGAGAGACCAGTGGATGAGCCAAGAGCGGTTCTGCAGCTGAGCCAGGGGGTTGCTGAATAGTCGGGTTTCAATGGATTCCTTGACCTTCTGGACCTCCTCCATCGCACCGTCCCAGCTGGTGGTCAGGATCTCCGAGGCTAGCTTACCCCATGTGGCCGACGCAACTTTGTCGTTGTCGGTGGAGAGAACTCGGAACTGATAGAGTAGCTCCGCCGCGTTACCGTAGCTACCGCAGCTGTACTGGAACCGGCCGTAGTCGTACAGGCTGTTGACCATCTCGGTCGTGACGCCGTGCTGTTCCTCGAGGAACTTCAAGTTGGCAGCCTTGTCGCTGCGCAGGTTGCTCACGACGCTCTCGTCCTGCAGCAGATCGGTGATCTTGGCGCTTTCGTCCTGGTAGTGTTGCAACTTGGCGAGAACCTCCTCTCTCTTCTTCACAAACTCGTCGGGGATCGTGTCGGAGTCGTTGATTTGCTGCCACAGGTTGGCGACGTAGTCGGTCATGTTGGTGTGCTTGAGCAGTTCATATTTCGCCCGAACGACCTCCTTGTCGTCATCCTGGCCGGAGCTAAATTCGAGGAGGGGGAAAACCAGATGGCGGTCGAGATAGGGGATCAACTTGGGCAGGAGGTCATATTGGTCGGCGATTTCTTCCGCAGTCTTGGGGGGGTGAGCGGTGAGCAAAGACTCAGCGGAAGGGGGGGCGTTGGCTGCCATAATGAACAGCTTCTATGGAGAGGAGGGGGAAAAGAGGAGGGAGGGGAGATCAAAGGGCGTCAAAAACAAGAAGGACGTGGATACGCAAACCAGAGTCTTTCTCAGTGTGCGGCGATGCGAAAATGTGGGCGGGAGGGCTGGTCGAGGCGCTAGACCCGACCGGGACTAGGGGCAGGTCTCCGCGCAAAGAAGATCCGGAAAGCCTCAAAGTCAGTCAGTCCATGTCGCTTTTTCTCGCCCGGCCTCTCCTCATCGCTCTTCCCCCTCCCCTCCTCTCCTCCCCCGCGCCGTCTCTTCCCTTCCCTTGCCTGGTCCGGGTTCTCGTCCTTAGTCGACCCTTTTAATATCCATGGCGTCTTTCCTACAGTGCCGTCCGGTCCTGTCGGCTGTTCGCAAGCAGTCGACAGCTGTGCCGCTCTATCTACAAAGCTCTTCACAGTCCATGCTTTTGCGTTCAGGGACATGTAGCTCCTTCTCTTCACTATCTTCCTCGCCGAGTTTGATCAACTCCCGTAAGTAGAAGCTATTCGTTTGCCTCGAATTCTCCATCGCGAATCCCGTATCACGTCCTGCTATTCCGTGTTTCAGGAACCAACGGAAGACACGGAAACAACGCGAAAAACTGGATGAGAACATGACAGAAATCCCATACTGACCCATCTACAGAAAATCCTCGTCGAAGCCTCCCTTCTGCCATCCCCACACAACAATCCCGAACCTTCTTGGTACAATTCAGACGTCAAGCCCAGTCCCTGAAAGAGAACTTCCCTTCGAAATCTCCGGCCGATTTGCAACTCACCAACCTCCCCTACTTCATCCGTCGCACACCCTCCAACCAACTCCCTGTGTACTTGGTCACCAAGGCCGGCGGTACCAAGCAGCAGACGAAGCTCCAGAAAACTGAAGGCGACCTGGATGCGTTGAGGAGTGACCTGGCACAGTTTTTGGGACTTGAGTCTGGCGACCCTAATGCTCCCCAGAGCCCCGATGTTACCATCAACCGTCTGACTGGGCACATTCTGGTCAAGGTATGCGGCCATCCTTCCCCACCCCTGAGCGCTTATTCTCAAACCCGTTCCGTGCGGCTAACGGATCGTATGACAGGGCTGGCGGAAACCTGAAATCCAGCAGTTCCTGTTGCAGCGCAACTTCTAAACACCATAATCGAAGGAACGGCTCCATCTATGACCATTTGACCTCATAATTCCATCGATCTTTCGCAACTACCTTCAAAACGTCGATTTTCCATCTCCCTAAAAAACAAACAAAGGCAACGAACGAGAGGCATAATGTCTTAGTCATACCAAAACATCACACACCAGCGATGGGCCAAAGACTCTCACCAAGGTTAAAAAGGACGGCAGGAAAAGAAGAACCAAGGACGAGAAACTAAGAGGGGATAAGCCGCAAAGTTGAAGCTATTGGGCCAGCTATTGAGAACTCCATCGATAATTCTTTTTCTCTTCTCTACCATTCTCATTTATTGTGTATTATTTTTTCTCTTGTGTCGGTGTTCTGCTGCTTTTCTTCAGTCTCATTCGTGTTGTCGGGGAGGTGTTGACTGGCTTTCTGCACTCTGGCATTTCCTCCTTTTTCTTTCTCATTTCTCTGATCTCATCTCTGCTGCTCTTGTCGCGCGACTCTCTGTATCCTGTACATGTCCAATGACTTTACGGTTGCTTTTGTGCTAATTCTGTGGCTAATATCGACAATTGATCTGGTTTTAATGGGCGAAGAAACTATGCCAGGCGTGTAATCAAGGTTTCCAACCAATCGTATCTGCTAGACATTCCCGTCCGTCGCTACTGTTATGCTCTAGTCTTAATTCTCCAGAATTCAATTTGATATATTCATATCAAGTCTATCCATTAAACCGCTGGAAGGGATACTCCATGAGTCGGACCCAAAGGAGCACCATATCAGCAGTCTCCAAATGGATGCATGAGAACTGCGGATGAAGAAGTCGCAAGATAGCGAAAGAGTCCAAGAAAATCAGAGATATGTATCAGGATATGAAATTTACCCATTTAGACATCATGCATGATCTTGCGCCCGAGGGTATTGAGCATTGTACAAGGAGTGATAACCACGATGATACACAATGTTCACGCCTCTCGTAATCTTCCCACCGGCGCCGGCCACGAAAAAAAAAAGGACGTAAACCAAGAAATAAACTGAAAGGAAAATTGTAAATAAATAGTTTAATCAATGTGAATAGAAGACATGACAGAAGCAAACATCAACAAGGCATCTTGGGAGAGGTGTAAGATCTTCGCCTTCGCTAGAAGTAACCAAAATGAGAAAGAGTTTGTAAAAAGATGAACCAACTATAACCAAACCATTCCAGATCACTCCGCCAACCGCGCATATGTTATTAACTGCCGAACAACGCCGGGATCCACATTCGGCATCAGCAGGGCCCCGAGTAAGCTTTCTTTCTTGGGGATGATTCCGGAAGGAAATCGCAGGGCACAGTTCGTATCAACATGTATTGACTTCTCGGCCAGTCGCCGTAGAATACCTAAGCCCCGGTTGATAATCGAGCCATAGGCGGAAGCTTCGGCTTCGGCTTGTCCCCTTGCGGCATGGGACTGGCGGGTATTGGTCTGGGTGGGAGGAACACGTTCCGTACTTAATAGGCAAGACAGTCGAAGCAGATGTATAGCAAACCCATCGATAGATTCAAGCCATGCTTTGGCAATGGTCCCGTCAGCGAACCCACTGAGGATATCCGCAGCCAATAGCCCTTGCATGAGGAATACTTTGCGAGCATCAGCTATAGCAAGAGGCTTCCGAGGCTGATCGGGAACTGGACAAATGGCAAGCGCAAATGACCGTGTGAGTAGCTCCATCTGAGGGCTTCCTCCACCATCACCAACAAATATCGTTCTGAAAAACGTTCGGTTGGGTTCATCTCGGGCCAGTAGCTTTGCTAAGCTATCCACTGCCGCGGGAGTGTATTTGTGAATGGATGGGTTGTATGCCGTGAACATGACACCCTCCGGTCCCAATGTCGGACCTGGAAATGGCGCAAAGGATAAGAGGAAATGTAGAAGGCAAAGTGCCTCTTCCTTGCTCGGTAACTGAACCGTATGGGCCAAGTTACTTAGATAAATCACTGTGTCCTTCATAAAGTCCAACGTATTTTGGTGAGTTCGCAGGAGCATGTTTCGGGTTCCCAGATAGCGGATGATGGTAGAAATAAACTGTATAACGGGAGGTGTTGAGAGAATTCCAAAGTTGGACTCGGTGAATGAAAAGTTGCGCAGAATGGTTGTAATGCAAATGAGTCTATCCACAGCTCGATCTAGCTCATATTCAAGACTTCCAAATTCAGGAGTATCCGCCAGGGATGTCCACTCTGATTGGCACCCTCGGGTGATCTCTTCATAGGAGGGAAGCAGCATCATATCTGAGACCTCGGCAGCATGTTCAGCAAGAAACTCGGTCTGATCTTCTGCACATTCGATCAAGCTTTCGACTAGGTCATCGCAGTTGTCCAACGAAATCTGAATCGCCGGTTCGCAAGAGATAGATGCCAGAGTATCTAGTGCCATGCGCATCTCCGCATGCATTCCAGATTTAATACTCATTGTGAGTGCATGGATATCAATGACACCAAGTTCCGCAAACGAAGGAACGTTGGGTTTTAGCCTTGAGATATCTTCCCCAAGCTGATACATTTCATCCACGGCAATCGGTCCATGCAGATTGTTTTCCGGTAGGACCATAGGCTTGAAAGGATCCTCGATGGGTTGCTTCAAAGGCATATTGGAAGATTGCTCAAATTGTTCGCCGGGTTTTCCCGGCACGGGTACAGAGCCCTTCCCGGATTGCGCAGGAGACTGCGCCGGTACTTGTCCGGTAGGGTCATGTGGCGTGGCTGGCGGTTGAGACTGGCGGGGAACGCTGAGTCGATGTTGAGGCTGTTGTTTGTTCGGACCTTTGACCGGCGTCGGGGTTGCGAAACCGTTTGAGGCGCTGTTCTGTACACTGCTGGATACCGAGGCGGTACTAGGAGAGGGGTGGCCCATCTGCTGCGGAGTCTCAAACGCCTGTGGGGGTTTGACAGCGGGCGACTGGAATTGCATCCCGGGTTGATCGGTGGGCTGACGAGGTAGTGACGTCTGCTGCTGCATCTGATCTGCGAATTGTTTCTGCTGTGTATTGAGAAACGCCTGCTCGTAAGCAGCGAGATTTCGCTGGTAGTGGTCACGAATTTCTTGCACGGCCATTGGAAATTGCATCGGTGGGAACTGGAGTTGTTGGGCGATAACGGACCACATGTTCGTGGCCGATATCTTCTTAGACCCGCCTAATTTCATGACAGTGGCGTAAAGCTGTACCAAATGGATTGGACGACCGCATACAATCGGGTTTAGGTCAAGAGGCATATTCCGCGACATCATGAACTTCTGCAAGGACCTCATGAACCCTTCAGGATTGGGAGGTTTTGACATGGTTTGCTGCATCTGTCGGATGGCCGCCATCTGTTGGGGGTTTGCCATTGCGTTCATCCCCGCGGCAACAGGGCGCCCAGCCATCGCTGGGTTCATGTTCATCGGCCGGCCTTGATTTTGCATTTGCATAGCATGTATTCGCTGCTGTTGCTGTTGAGCGGCCATTGCCTGCTGGTATCCCTGTGGCATGCCACCGAAATGCGCTTGCATTGGGGCTTGGACCGCCGCGGACGACATGGCGCCGGCCGGCGAAAACTGCGGCCCCATGCCCTGAGGAAATGGCTGACCGGGCATGAACGAATTGTTCTGTGGCGTGTTCACCCTGCTCGGGTGATCCGGTTGCGACGGCGACATCTGCTGGCCAATATGGGGACCCGCGGGCGAAAATGGGCTAGGAGAAGCCGTTCCCATCCTTTGCACGCCATGTTGGTCGAAGTCCTGCATAATCGGAGACTGGGTGACATTTGGGGTGGCTCCTTGCGGCAGATGTTGATACTGGGCCGGGTGCGGAGCAAACTGCGGAGTCCCGTTCGCCGGTCCTTGGTATCCTGGGAAAGGGACTTGGTGAGGTGTTTGCGATCGCGACGCAGCAATCCCGCCCGGTGCCTGTCTGGGAGACATGGAGATGCCATCCTCCGGCCGAGGCCTTTTGGACGGAATCACCTGATTAGGGTTGTGGAAGCCGGGAGAGGCATTTCGCGGCACGCCGTTGAACATGCGTTGGAATTGGTTAGGGTCGGGAGTGGGGGATGCATGGAGAAATGCTGTTGAAGGATCAATGGTCGCCTGATGAAAAGCACCATTATCATGGCTGGGAAGATTCGAGCCGTCGGCTAGCCAGGCATTCATGTCGTGTGGTTTTACCAACCCATCTGCAGGTTTAGGAGAGCTGTCAGAAATTGTGACACACACCAGGGTTGAACGGTCAATATACGATCGACACAAATCGATGCATAAAACCCATTATCCCAGAAGCAACAAGAGAGCACGCTGAGAATGGATGGAATGCAATTAGGGGATGGGATATGAACGCGTCGACTATGGGGGCGGGCCTAGGTCGCGCTCGGAGTCTGCGACACGAGTGAGGCGAGGCAAACAACGAGCGCACCAAGGCAGCGCGACCTCAAGGCGGGGAGGGGAGGGATAATGCGAGAGGTGCATCCAGGGACAAAGCAGGAAGGGGGAAGTGTTTGCAACATAGTAATGGGACAAATATAATGTACATACCGACAAGGCTGGATAACTATGTGCCGACTCACAAGCGGATGAAAGCCGGTCCCGAAATAGCAGCGGTTGGAGGGCGCAAGAAAGAGTGCGAGGAGGGAGAGGTCACGGGACCTTACGCGCCGTTGGCCGAAAATGAGTGGAAGTACTAAAGTACTGTCCCATCAGCATTGGTGCAGAGGGGGGAAAGCAACGACTCGCGGGGAAGGGAGTCATGGAAAACAGTAGTATAAACGGCTGTAGGTTACAATGCAAAGAATGAAGAAGTCAAGGCATAAAACAGAAATAAAATTACAGAAAAAAAAAAAAAGATAAAGGATAAGCCCAAAAAGAGAGATCGCGGTTCGCAGCATGAGTGCGTGGCCGGTCGTGGTGCGTGGCCATAACGGGAGAGGCGTGGGAAGGAGAAAGCAGGCAAAATCCAATCATTGGAGCAGAGGCGGGGAGGAAAAGGCATACGTACCTAGTAAAACCGCACCGGGTTGGAATAGGAAGCGCCGGAGGTTGGTATTAAATTCTTGGGTTTCTAATTTTTTTTTAATGGCCTTTTTTTTCCACTCCGTACTTTGGTGAGCGAAGGAGATCGCTTTGAAAGCAAAAGAAAGTGGAGGCACGGAAAGGTGGGAAGGGGAGGAATGGAGACCGGCGTGGAGAGTAGCAAGAGAGGGAATGAGAGTCGAGAGTCGAGACACCTCAGGAAGAGGGAGGAAAGTAAGGACAAGAAAAACTGAGGAGCAAAGCGGAACTTCTAAGGGAAAAGGTACGTACAAAACCTTCCCTAGTAGGGTTATTTTACCAGTAGTCGCAGAGCGAAGGGGAGGAAGCAAGTCAGGTCAACTCAGGTCAGGAGGAATTCGGCAGGCGGAATCGGGCGGCAGCTGACCGGCGATTAGCTAAGCGCCTAAACACGGTTGGTGCTAAGTTACACGGCCGGGAGAATAATCCTGCTTCTCTTCGTCCCTCCGGCCTGGGACCGGCAGGTTCTCGTCGCAGCTCGCATTGTGAAAAGAAATATTATTTCTCACAGACTGAGAGCTGAATTCCGATATGCAGTCAACGACCCTGGAGCTTTCTCATTAGTTGCGGGAAAACGGGTGGTTTATTGGAGTCAGTGGTGGGCGCCGGTTAACTACTAGTTAGTTAGGTAGTTAGTGGTTTGGGGTTGGGGTTGGAGTGATAGCAATTGTTAGAAATTAGCATGTCCTTCTGGCTTTGTGTTGATCAGGTTGCAGTTGCTAAACATCTTGCAAATGCGATTGATTCATCTTATGCAACACTCGAGAGAATTATTTCTCTCGCCAAACCGAACAGATATTCGGCTAGGTTAACGCGGCTGGTAGATTAGTTTATCTTGTATACATGAGGGGCCTCGATCAGAAACGAAAAGAAGCATCATGCGATAGAAATCAAGAGGAGCAAATCCAAGATGACTCCCTGGGATGGGAGGAGCCAACTCGTGGGAAATCAAAGATAACAGAAATAAGAGCAAAAGAGAAAAGAAAAATCGCCCCGGTGACTGGGGGGAAAAGGGCGTCTGCTGCTCTTATAAACTGCTGAGGTAAAGCCCACCGAATGAATCGCCCAATCTGAGTAGGTACGGTATGGATGAGCATTATTTGTCGCCCGCTAGATCCATTGACACTCGCTAGATATCTTTCCACCCTTGCACAGATCCCTTTCGGTGGATTGTGATTTTTTCTTTTCTTTTTCCGCTTCCCTTTCTGTCGCTGAGGGGGGAGGTCTACCTATTAATTGTTGTATTGAGTTTGATTTGAATTTGAATTTAAACCCCTCTTTCTTTCCCCTTTTCTTCCCATCTTTATGGACATCCCATTGTCCCACCTGCCACGTCCTGACGACGCACTAAATGACTGGGTGATTGGCCACTTCGTGGAGACCCGGATCGGTTCCGTGGAGCATCAGTGTAAAATTAAGAATGGAACACGGTATGGGGTAGCTGCTGTAGGGATTTCCAAGGGTTGTGGTAAAGAGGATGATTCTGATTCCACCGGATCCTGTTTAATACTGTTTTTACCAGTCTAGACCGAGTCGTGAGTTAGAACACCTCGCTGCCGTCATTGTCCGACGTGAATCATAATTTCCTGCAACTATATATTTAATTGCGCCACGAAATTGATGTTACAGAGCACCCCTGAAATTATTATACACACCAGACCACGTACAGTGTCTAGACAGCTTCAAGTGGATAATTATTCTCCCAAACCAAGAGATTACTCCTGTCGGATATCCTAGAATAATAAATAACATTCGGCGCCTGTAGTAGAGCTAGTAATTGTGATTTTGAAGTTTTCATACTCTGTTAGCAAAAGAATTTAGGCATAAATTTTGTTGGTAGACTCCCAAAAAGTTGGCTGCAGCTGCCATCTGACATACTCCGTAGGGATCTAAAGAATTTTGCTATGCAGTGGATTGAAACCGAGTACTCGGGCAGAAGATGATGCCTCGCGGCAGCGGTGATACATCACGTGACCGAACTTGGTAAGCTACGTGAGCCCGGCAAGTCATCCTGGAAGCCTCCAGCTCGTTCAACAACGCACTCCAGCTACCTATCCTCGCCACCTTATCCCAACCCGTTCGCCCACTCTGTACGCAAGTCAAAGCGCCTGATACGTTTCTTCTCTCTGTCTTATTCAAATTTCATCATGGGAGACGTCGCCGTGGAGAGCCCGGCGAACAACGTCACGCCTTATACCAAGTCAGCTCCATTGGACACTATTCCCAACATAGAATCCATCGAGGGCACGGCAAATGATGGAGGTGATGAATACGCCACGCTTAAGAAACTCCAAAGACACCTAGAGTATGCTGGACACCTGCCATCTTCTCACAGTCCATACTGACAGCTGCCGCTAGGTACATTCAACTACAGGAGGAGTACATCAAGGATGAGCAACGGTACAAGCTATCTTTACGCCCCCATCGCTTTAAGAACACCGACTAATCAATACGTCTAATAAATAGGAGCTTGAAGAGAGAGCTTGTTCGCGCACAGGAGGAAATCAAGCGGATACAGAGTGTTCCCTTGGTCATTGGCCAGTTCATGGAAGCTATTGATCAGAAGTTTGTTTCCAAACGAGCCGGCTCTTAATTTACAGACTAACCCCGAATTTTCTGTTATAGTACTGGGATTGTGCAGTCGTCGACCGGTTCGAATTATGTCGTCCGTATCTTGTCCACGCTCGATCGCGAAAAGCTCAAGCCGTCATCCTCGGTCGCCCTCCATCGCCACTCCAATGCCCTCGTTGATATCCTCCCCCCGGAGGCAGACTCTTCTATTGCCATGCTTGGCGAAAACGAGAAGCCGGATGTGTCGTACGCGGATGTTGGTGGTCTTGACATGCAAAAGCAGGAGATCAGGGAGGCGGTCGAACTGCCTTTGACGCACTTCGACCTCTATAAACAAATTGGTGAGTTGGATGGGTAGGGATGGAAAAGCATCGTTGTGGCTGACCCTGTCGCAGGTATTGACCCCCCTCGTGGTGTCCTGTTATACGGCCCCCCCGGTACCGGTAAGACCATGCTGGTCAAGGCAGTGGCCAACAGCACGACCGCCAGCTTTATTCGCGTCAACGGTTCCGAGTTCGTCCAGAAGTATTTGGGAGAAGGACCTCGTATGGTCCGTGACGTATTCAGAATGGCCCGGGAGAACTCTCCCGCGATTATCTTCATCGACGAAATCGATGCCATCGCCACCAAGCGTTTCGATGCCCAGACAGGTGCCGACCGTGAAGTTCAGCGAATTCTGCTGGAGTTGCTGAACCAGATGGATGGTTTCGAACAGTCGAGCAACGTCAAGGTCATCATGGCCACCAACCGAGCAGATACCCTGGATCCCGCCTTGCTGCGTCCGGGTCGTCTGGATCGTAAGATCGAATTTCCGTCGCTGCGTGACAGACGGGAACGTCGCTTGATCTTCTCGACCATTGCTTCCAAGATGTCTCTTTCCCCGGAAGTTGACTTGGACTCCCTGATCGTGCGCAACGAGCCCCTGTCGGGTGCCGTTATTGCTGCTATTATGCAAGAGGCCGGCCTCCGGGCTGTGCGAAAGAACCGGTACAACATCATCCAATCCGATCTCGAGGACGCCTATTCCGCCCAGGTCAAGACGGGCCAGGAAGCAGACAGGTACGTGACTCCCCTTCGATCTCGTTATGTACTTTTGATGAGACTAATATTTACCCTACAGGCTGGAGTTCTACCGCTAAACCGGAAACGGTCGGTAATTAACGCGTTGAAAGGAAATGGGACATGTGCATGGCGAATGGGGGGTTATCAGTTGTATCATCAAGGTCTAGGCTTCCACTTATATAGGAATATGGCCGGTGTATTGCATGTCTTTCCGTGAGATGTATCCGTAGACTCACTGCGGAAAACGGAGTAGACCGTAAAGATTTAGGTGTCTCGCCCGGCATCCTCAGACAAGCGCCAGGCTAGTGGCTTAGTAAGTCGGGGACCTTAGGAAGGTCTTACATCATCGGCAGCGGCTTCTGCCGGGTAGTTCGATAGATAAAAATGACTAGTTGATAATGGGCTAAGATAACAGCTCAATCGCGTGATAATGAGCCCAAGACGGGGAAGAGAATGTAGAGTAACTACTCAGGTATGGCCACGCCGAAGATCCTCGCTCCTTTAACATACTGCGGTGTATGTACTCTGTACCTACTGTGAGCTGGTCAGTCGGGCGCTTGCTACCTTGTTGGCCGTGCCTGGAGTCGTGGACTTGGCCGAACAGTCAGCAGTCAAGTGATGCACCCGTGATGATCCCCCGAGTCGAATGACGCAGCCTGGGGCACCATGATTGGCCGGCTCCGCAGCTAGGCAAGGTCGCTCCGCAACCGACTCATCTCACCTCTCTCTCCCTGCCCCGACCTCGCTCCCTCCGCGTTCTCTCTTCCCTTTCCATCCTCTCTTCATCTCATCGTTACCTTACCCATCGTCCTTCCTATCCATAGAGACGATCTTTATTCCAGTTCCCGTCGTTCACTAAACTACCGTCTCTGTTGCCCACCATGAAGTCGGCCTCTTTGCTCACGGCCTCCGCGCTGTTGAGCTATGCTTCCGCCGAGGTTCATAAGCTGAAGCTCAACAAAGTCCCCCTATCGGAACAATTGGTGAGTCCAGCACTGTCGGGGATTTCCATCACGACCAAATTCTCGTAATCTGTCCAGATTGGTTTGATGATTTGCTCATCGATGGTTTTAACAGTACACCCACAACATCGACGCCCATGTGCAGGCGCTGGGTCAGAAGTACATGGGTATCCGTCCCACTGTTCATGAGCAGATGTTCCAGAACAGCCCCGTGAATGATATGGGTCGCCACGACGTGCTCGTCGATAACTTCTTGAATGCTCAATGTAAGGCCATCTGCCCGCTCCGGCTTGTCAGGAGATACTGACCAACTCCAGACTTCTCTGAGATCGAGATTGGCACGCCCCCTCAGAAATTCAAGGTCATCCTGGACACCGGTAGCTCCAACCTCTGGGTCCCTTCTTCGGAGTGTGGTTCCATCGCCTGCTATCTGCACAACAAGTATGACTCGTCTGCGTCGTCCTCGCACAAGAAGAATGGCAGCGAGTTCGAGATCAGATATGGATCCGGCAGCCTGAGTGGATACGTCTCTCAGGACACCGTCAAAATCGGCGATCTGAAGATCGAGGATCAGCTGTTTGCCGAGGCAACCAGCGAGCCCGGCCTTGCTTTTGCCTTCGGTCGCTTCGACGGCATCCTTGGACTGGGATTTGACACCATCTCCGTCAACCACATTGTCCCTCCTTTCTACAACCTGCTGGACCAGGATCTCCTTGACGAGGGCGTCTTTGCTTTCTATCTGGGAGACGCCAACAAGGAAGGTGACCGCTCCGAGGTCACCTTTGGTGGTGTTGACAAGGACCACTACACCGGTGAACTGACCAAGATCCCTCTTCGCCGCAAGGCGTACTGGGAGGTTGAGTTTGATGCTGTTGCTCTCGGTGACAACAAGGCTGAGCTCGAGAACACCGGTGTCATCCTGGACACGGGTACCTCCCTCATTGCTCTGCCTTCCACGCTTGCTGAGCTCCTGTGAGTGTTGACTTGATTCTTGTTCTCATGTGTAATTCGTCTGCTAACATCCACCTAGCAACAAGGAAATCGGCGCTAAGAAGGGCTTCTCTGGTCAGTACTCGATCGAGTGTGACAAGCGTTCGTCCTTGCCCGACCTCACCTTCACTCTGAGTGGCCACGACTTCACGATCACTCCTTACGACTATACCCTGGAGGTCCAGGGCTCCTGCATCAGCGCTTTCATCGGCATGGATTTCCCCGAGCCCGTTGGTCCCTTGGCCATCCTTGGTGATGCGTTCCTGAGGAAATGGTACAGCGTGTATGACCTTGACAACGGTGCCGTTGGTCTCGCCAAGGCCAAATAAATGTTATGCCGACGATGACATGCTTTGGTTCCGCATCGCGTGGTTCTTGAGTATGCATATGTCCCCTTTGTAGCTGGCCTATTTTCTTGTTTTGCGTTGTCTTAGTGCCTGGATTTCCCTCTGGAGGATTCGGGGTAGGGGAAGAGAGTTATGTTGCGAGTGATGTGCATTCTGCTATTTCGAAACGGTAATCCTCGTGTGGCATACCCTTAGTTCGTTAGTCTTAGCTTCCTTGTCACCGAGTAACTAAATGTTGATGACTCTTTATTCTTCCAATCGAAGCGACCTCTTTTGATGGGGGCTATGAATACCAGCATGGGCTCTGACCCGCGAGATAACCGAGGCTTGTTAAGGGGGCCGCCGCACATTGAGTACCTAGTACCTATAGCATACAGTGCCTACTATGTAGAGGACCCTGGCCCTGTCAAGAGTGGAGCGACGCTCTTCATCCAGGCAAACAAAGGGAGCCATGAAAGACAGACCCTTGGACGGGTCTGGGCCAAGTCGGGGTTCTTTTGTCTGGCCCCGCACGGGCAGCCGACCGCCCAACTGGAACTCTCTTGCTGCCTTGCTTGGCAGCCGACCTTCTTTCACGGCTCCTCACGCGGCCTTTTCCATCATCATCACCACCACCTTCTTTCTTTGGCTCACCCCTCCATCCTGACTCTTCAGATATATCTGTGACCCCATTATCTATCGGTGGCGCTTTGGTTGCTCTCCCATTCCAATTTTCTCTTCTGTTTTCTTTCTTCCCTTGTCTCGTGCTCTTGTCGCGTCCTGTGGCAAATTTCCTACCTTTTTTAATCTGAGCTACGCTTTCACCCCAGTCACGTCAGACCTCGTCGGATCCTTTTGTTTACCGATAGGCGTCACACCACAATCTTAGTCTACTGAACTTTTCCTTTCGGATAGGTCGGATTGAGTTTCGCCAGCTTCCGTCTTTAATCCGTGATTGGCACGCCTCGGGTATGGCTCCATAGCCGTCGACCCCGACACATCTCAGCTTGCTACCAACCTCACAACTCAATTCTTTTCTTTACTAAATCCCATATTGGCCGACCGTGGGGGATCTTCCAGCTACTTTGGAGGAAATTGGGGGAAGAGAACTAGGAACGAAACGAGCCAGGCTGGCCCAGGAGCATGCTTCTGCGTCTACCGTCTAGCCTTCATTACCCGATCACCGTAACGTCGTTGCTCAAAGAGCCCGGCGATGCGGTGGAGAGGGACGAGGCGATATTCTGGTATTCCTACCAAACGACTGTGACGGAGGGTGATATATTGGGCAACAAGCATCAAGTTCTGCGCAAGTTTCCGGCCAAATTCGAGTCAACCGTCGATGGAGAAATCGTCCAGTGGAAGGTTCAGAAGGGTGATGTTATCAACGGACCGTAAGTCTTGGACTCGTGGCTCGCTCTGCTCGGCGGGACAGAGCGGACGTGATCATGCTCGCTGACATGTGGGGTTAGTTTCGACGTCGTCGAGGTCGATGAGCCATGCGCTCACGAGGTCCAGTTTGGAGGACTCTGCGCAGAATGTGGAAAAGATATGACCGAGTAAGTGCAAGAGGGATATTGTGATGATACAATGCTTGGTTATCTGGTTTAGATGATCTAACTTGTTCGACTTCTAGATCGACGTATAACACGGAAGTCACGGATTCGATGCGCGCCCCCATTCAGATGGCCCACGATAATACGGCACTCACTGTGAGTGAGAGGGAAGCTACTCGGGTGGAGGAAGACGCCAAGCGCCGTCTTCTGTCGAATCGGAAGCTCTCGCTCGTGGTGGATCTTGACCAAACAATTATCCATGCTACTGTTGATCCGACCGTTGGAGAATGGATGGAAGACAAAGACAACCCAAACCATCAGGCCCTGAGCGATGTTCGAGCGTTTCAGCTAGTGGACGATGGCCCGGGAATGCGCGGATGCTGGTACTATGTCAAGTTACGACCAGGACTAGAGTCATTTTTGCAGAATGTCGCGGAGCTCTACGAGCTGCATATCTACACTATGGGCACTAGAGCGTATGCACAGCACATCGCAAGTATCATTGACCCTGATCGGAATTTGTTTGGGGATCGCATCCTCAGTCGCGACGAGAGTGGCAGCTTGACCGCAAAGAACCTTCATCGCCTGTTTCCCGTGGACACCAAGATGGTGGTCATTATTGATGACCGTGGGGATGTTTGGCGCTGGAGTCCTAACCTCATCAAGGTGTCTCCCTACGATTTCTTTGTTGGCATCGGAGACATAAATTCAAGTTTTCTTCCGAAGAAGCAAGAGCTAGAAGCCAAAAACCAAGCGCCAAAGCCGGCCCCTCCGGCTCCCAAACCGGCCCCATTGGAACAATATCATGTCAATGGGACCTCGACAAAGGCGGGGCCGAATGAGCAGGTGTCGACATTGGAACAATTAGTGACTATGGGCGGAGGAGACAACCCGAGGTTGTTGCAAGAGCAGAGTGATGCGCAGGAGGAAACGATCATGCACCAGGTCGAGGATCGCCCGTTGCTGCAAAAGCAAAAGGAGTTGGATGCCGAGGACGATGCGGCCGAGAGCAGCGATTCGTCTACGAGCGTGGATGAGTCGCAAGATCCTAGCAAGCAGCGGCATCATTTACTGGAGGACCATGACCGGGAGCTTTTCGAGCTAGAAGGACGACTTGAGCAAGTACATAAGCAGTTCTTCGAGGAGTATGAAAAGAAGCGCCTGGGGGCATTGGGTGGAAGGGTGGCGGCTCTGAGAGGTGAGAAGACGCCGTCGAAGGACAGGGGTGTGGATTTGAAGTTGGTTC